GACATATGGAAGAATATAAAAACTTTTCTTTCATTCTGTTTTGTTTTTATTTTTATTTTTCAAATTTAAAACTTTTATATTAATTCCAGATTTCATCATTTTATTAGATGATAGAAGCCCTTTTTATTCTTTTATGTAAATATATAATATTTTTTAATAAATAACTTTTTGACAATATGACTATAAATATGATCATATTATATATTTGTATAATATATAATATGATCTCAAACTAAATAATTATGTTTTTGGTATAAAACTGAATAAACTGAAAACCGATGGTATATAAACCAAATCAAATGCAAGTAAATATGAATTTAGAATAGTAATTATATTTTAATAATTAAAATACCAAAAAATTGAACCTAACTAAAACCCGATATCCGGATTAAACACCCCTAATCCAAATGAACCAAACTATTGTTTCATTTTTCAAAACATAATAAAAATAACAACTTCATCCCGCGCAAGGCGTGGATCTTATCCTAGTTTGTTAGTTTATTTTCATATCATAGATGTTGTTGACCGTCATCTATATTAATTACTGAGGCTGTTGCGGTTGAAACATAACATGTTCACGAGCTTTTCACAACTTGTGATATGTGAAATTTCCTTTCTTTTTTTTTTTGTCACGATGATGTGAAATTTCCTAAGAATATTTGTACTTTATACCTACAACATTTATCATATTTACATTTCATACCTAATTTTCCTCAATTTTTTTCCTTCCATCATCACTATTTCCCCACAATATTTAGATATTTTCTTAATTACTACATTCTTCTTGTATTTTCAGTCAATTCACCCTTCCTATAAAGTTTCAAAGATTTGGCACTAGCCAGAGTGTTGTAAGCTGCTTCAAGCTACATTATTAAAAAGTATAATGGTTTCCTTCTGCCTTGCTCTCTTCTTCCTTGTCGAATCCACATCCACCCCTAAATCATCCAGCAGTGAGATCCTGCTATCAGACAAGGCCACACCTTTCTCTCCACTGTTGACGTGGAAAACGTGGCTATCTCTCCATTATCAACTCTATTTCCATTTACTCTGATTCTTGGAGAGTAACTTATCATATATGTGCAATTGTACATATTCACAATACATGAAGCATGTGCGGGGCCGGTCCAAAGTTTTTAAAATTTGCTTAATCTAACCTAAGCAACTGCTTATGTGGTCTACTTTGTAGGCCGGACCTGAGCATGTGTTTGATCTATGGTCAAACGTTATTTGGGATTAAGTCTCTAAACCTATCATCTAGCTTCACAGATTTAGTGATAATCTAGTGATGAAGTAAATTGATAAAGAAATTATATATACGAAAGAGAATACATAAAAGGACACTAGATCTTCTAAATGACCTTAAAATAATTTTGTTTTTTTTTTATCAAAGGAGCATATAAAAAGAAAAAAAAAAGACCAAATATAATTCATTAAAAAGGTAAAAGACTCTTTATCATTACTTTATAAATATAAATAACTATTTAAGGAAATAATAAATTAAAAGTAATTTTTTGAAAATACTTTTTCAGTTCAAACTTTTAAAAAAAAAAAATTCCAAATATTTTTTGAAATTTTATTTTGTCATGTAAGAAAGATAATCATTGTCATGTATGGAAGAATCAACCAGACATGCAAACCGGCCGCCTCGTTTGGTAAGTCCAACCCAAAATGGAATGTGAGATATGGTTTGGACTTTCCAAAATGGCTTATTTGATTGTCCTTGGGCTATGGTTTACATAATGAAAGCCATGAAGTTAATGATTCTTGCTCCTCATTTTCTTGTTTGTTGTTTGATTATATGATTATCAATTTGTTATGTTTTTCTCATTTTTTCTTATGTTTTCCTTTTTTTTACTCAATTTTTTTTTGATTTTTTGTTGTTGTTGTTTACCTTACAAGAAAAACTATATTTTCTACATTATTTGAAAAATGATTTGTTTATGTATCTTTGTCATAATCATTCTAACAAACAAATGATGACATGTCATATTAATGATGACATATCATATTAAAAATAATGACATAGATTCAGTGTAACTATGACATGGCTCACAATTATATGGGTCACAATTATGAAATAAAATTCAATTATAAAAATTTAAACATAAAACAATAAATATATAATGGTTCTCATAATTTAAAAAAAATATAAGCAAAAGAAGTTAAATCTTAGATAAAACTTCCTAAACTTACACACTAAAAAAATTTAATAAATATATTCATTATTTTATTAGTATTTTATATATTTTTAATGTTTCTAATGAAAAACATCTATATATGATAGAATTATAATAAGATATTGTGTCACTATCGTATAATAACTAGTATAATACTTATTACTTTTTAAAAGTTTTTACATTATTGCACATGATCATATTTACCTACACGTATGAGCTCATTGTGGGAGACATATCCACCAGCAGTAAGATTCATATTTCTAAACCCGCGTTGGAAAGAGTTTTACACATAGGAAGCGTGCCGTACGGGGTAAAGGTAATCTCTCATTACAAGAAAACATCAATTTAGAGACTTCATTTGTAACTACAATTTGTGGTTGCAAATTTGTGTAACGAGTGTGTAACTAATTTGTAACTATTTTGCAACTACCATAAATAAGTTATATATTAGTCGCAAATATACAACCAAAACTAATGGTGATAATTCAGTTGCTCATATGAGACTTATCTGGGACGCTTTTATAACTAGTGAACGAAGTTGCAAGTCAGTTGCATTATTACAACTAATTTACAACTATAACGGTAATTGCAAACTTGTAGTTACAAATTAGTAATAAAATAATGAACATGTCGTAGTTGCAAAATCGTAATTGTAGTTTTGTAACTTTTTATCAATATATATACTGGTTTAAACCATGTAATTGAGTTACATTATTGAGTTACATTGTACAATGGGGTTTAGGATAAAATTTCGACACTAGTAGTTGCAATTTAGTTACATTGTCCATGTTTTTATATACACAATTAGTTTATAACTTATTTGCAACTTCTAAATGTATTGTAGTTGCAATGTAGTAGCAAGTTGTATTATTATTTACAATAAATTAGGTTTAGTTATTAATATATATTAATTTTTTACTCTATATCAATACTTCTAATAAACCAAAATAACTATATCTTAAATATGTTTTTTTTAAACTATATCTTAAATAATTTTGAGTCATTTATATAAAACTTGGATATTTCCACAACCTCACAGCAGGACTAGTACATTTTTATTAATTTCATGGGTATTTGCTTGAATTTGAATTGTACATTATAAATATAACAATATTTTATGTAATCTCTAATATCTTATTATTTATAAAAAAAACTAATGTTTATTAAAAAATTTGTGTCTAAAGAAGTTATTACTTTCAGACTACACTATTCAAAAATGATTATTAAAAAACTAATGTTTATTAAAAATGATTACAACTAATTTGTGACGTGTAGTCGCACTTTAGTTACAAATGTTTTCTACATTTTTTGCATGTACGATTGTTTTGTAACTTATTTGCAACTCTTAAATTTTTAGTAGTTATAATGGAGTTGCAAACAGTTTCATTCTTTACAAATAAATAAGTTTAGTTCTTCATATATCATTATTTAATAAGATAATAAACCAAAATACTATATACTGAATAAATTTGAATCATTGTTTATAAAATTTGGATACAAGTACAAACTCTCAACAAAAATAAATTATATGTTTTAGTTATTCTGCATATACATTTTAGCATTTTTGCAAATAAAATTATTTTTTAAATTTATTTATAACCTTAAAACGTATTATAGTTGTAGTGTAGTGGCAAATTATAAAGAGTGGAAAATTGGTTACAAACTCAACCACCGATTTGCAACTGCATTGTTTCATAAATATAATAATTTATGTCCTATCATGTAATAATGTTTTCATTGGTTAATGTCCATACACGAGGATAGCTCTTTTTAACCGTTTGATTGACTTAATCTGACGGACCAGATACTTTCTTTCCCATTCTCATATACTCATCTCTCACTTTTGGGTCCTTCTGCTTTTCTCCTATCGACAAAGAAACACAAAATTTTAAAGTTCTTTTGAATCTCTCACAAATGACATTAATTAACCCTCTCTGTTTTTTGTGAAACGTTAGGGTACATGTCTTAAGACGTTTATTGAGGAGCATATTGGTTCCTATGAAATGGTGAAACATCACTCGAGGAACTCACTCAAAAGATATTGGGTGATCGTATGGAGACAAAATGTCATCCATATTTGTCGAGAAGACATATTGCCAACGACGGTATGGAGCAACAAGCTCAATAGCATTTGACGTTAAACGAGTTCTAACAAAAACAGAAGAAGCGTCTGTTCCCGTCCTTAACATTCTACGAGCTGTACCTCTCACGCGGCCGCAAATTCAGATTAAATCCATGGGTCACACTAGTAAACTAAAAAATGTCTAAAACAATAGAACATAAATTATGTTTTTAATAGATTCTTGTCTTCTTGAGTGTGGTAGTCGTATAAAAATGTCTAAAAGACTAAAACAATAGAACATAAATTATGTTTTTTAATATACTCTTTTGTGTTTTTAGATTTGTGTATAAAATATATAAAAGGTGGGAAAACAACATTAGACATTAAGCCTCTTCTAAGCAACTTGTTTTTCGGAGAAATGTTATATGTTTCTGAACTTTGTTCTTGAAAGTGACATATATGTAACTCTTTTAGAACATGATTAATGTGAATTTTTAGGATAAATTTTTTAACGTAATATAAATATATCTTTTTGTTTTTAATTAAGAAAAACTAATAAATATAAAGATGTTTCTTAGTTTTTTTTAAGTAAAAACTAAAAAACATATTTTATATTACATTAAGAACTTCGTTTAAGTTATTGCATTACTCATGTTCTTACACCATAATCAGTCTTTAAAATAGTTTCGCATTATCTAACTAAGAAAATATTCTCACTTTAAGACCAGCATAAAACACGTGGCGGATGCAGTTGATAACAAATGGGGTCACGTGTCTCGGGTAAATTTGACTTTTCGTCTCCCGGTTTGTGTGGGAATCTCAACCGGTTAAGGGTCTGGGTTTGCGTCTGGTTAGTTGTTTGATTTCATTTGGTTTGGGGCCGCCTAACCGAACACAATCCTGGGACTTTGGTATAGGCTTTCTAAAACTAATAGAGCCCAGGATCATAGAGCCCCTTGCTTCAAGACGTGCAAAGTTCAGGTTCAAAACACTTTCTGAAGAAGTCATGAGTAACCGCATATTGCATATATGTAATCAAGAAGGTCTCAACCTTGGTGGCGAGGTGTGCACACATGTTTTAAGGTTTGCCTTTCTTTTCTTTAACTGTGTCAGAACTGCTTATACTAGATGTTTCCTATATAATCTCTTTCAACTTTGAACTCCATATCACAAGGTGATCGCCGTAGAGCCATCACGTATCTACAAGTTAGATGAACCTAGCTGTCTGTGAAATATAGTCATGGGACGAAATTTACTGTGGTTGTTAAATTTAATCCAGTTTTTCTCCTTGAATACTACAAAGTTCTGCGCGGTTGTTTGGATCAACAATAACTTCCACTGATTTACTCGATGTGTCTGGGGTAAGTCTAAGATTTGGAAATGTCTAGCTGAAACAGATAAGGTGAGACTTCTCTCTGCGGGACTCTCTTTTCCTTTCTTCTATGAAGTTAGTTAAAAGACTCATGTGAAAATAGTAACCAGCATTTTAAGTCAAGTTCACATCGTTCATTGTCATATGGATCTTTTAGATATGTTTCAGTCTAACTTAAAGCGTCTCATCTTTTCAATGCATATATGCAGCGACTTGTAGATGGTGCGGATGAGTATCTGCAGCTTTTGGACGTGGCAAGCAATACAATTCGTGCACCCTCAGAAATGGCTCAAGACTTCTAATGCAATAAACCTCCAACATCAAAGCTCTGCATCTTGATTTTCATTATTGTTTTGCTTGTGTTGAATCTGTAACCGTTTCATGATATGGGCCAGAGCCATGCTTCCTTTATGGCAAAAGAAACATTGGCCTAGGGCATCATTTTGCAAAATAACACATTTTTTTGGTAAAATTGACATTAACACTTAATAACATATATTTAATTAGTTACTAACTTAATTAATAAAAATATCTATATAAGATTAAGATGCTATAATGTCAAATATAGGTCATAACTGAAAAAGTTTATTAGTCCATTATTAATTTACTAGTGAAGTAATAATAAATACTTAATTTTTAAAACAATTTGTTAACTTACAAAAAAAGTTAGCACAGCCAAAGAACATAACACTATTGTCGACTTACCATCTTAATCTACTGCCATCACTATTAGAAATTGAATATTCCATATTGACAAAACTTTGTCTTCTCACTTTTTCTCATCAGTCATTATAATTTACGTCTTTTCAGTGACTTTATTAATTAGTTTTATTTGTTTGAATAATTGAATATGGTTTTTCTAATTATGAATAATTATCATAATCTTATATATTGATAGAAAGATATTAGTTTCGATTGAATTTGTTGAAAAAAATAATTCAAAACTAAAATTGATAAAAATTTATACGCATTTAAGTATATCACAAGAAAAAATAATTGGCTTAGCTATCATATCTATATAAAAAAATTAATATATTGATTTTTTTTCAAAGTCTAGTCAATGATGTTGTAGAAAAAATGTTTGTATTATTTCATTTTTTCAATGATAATGATACTTGGAAGACATTTATGAATGAAATTTATCGCTTATGTACACAATTTTTGCTCATACGACTCTGCATATGGCCAACGACCAAGTATAGGAAAAGTTTGACAAGAACATATTTTTGTTACTGTTTTTGATTCACAATGATGATTCCAGAAAGTTATGATACCTATATGAAGACACTTCACTCATACCAACAACACTAATACGGTTCTCAAAAGCAAAAAAAAAAAAGAATCAAAAGTATTCAAAGACAATTTAGAATTTGGTATCACATCTCACCATGTTATATCTTTATTCAGCTTGGAGCTTGTAAGCCAGCATGCAATTACTTCCTTTCCAAAACCAAATCGAAAGGTATGTGTAGGAAGTATTTGTCCATTCATCACAGTTCCCATAAGCTTTACCTTTGATTTTTTGCAAGAATGTTTCACGAGGGTTCTCGCCAACTTTAGCAGCGTCTTTCTCAATTTTGATGCATTGTGTTGCATCGTGTATTTGTATGGGCTTTTAAAATTTATATTGTTTGAAAATTAGCTTGCCTCATTGAGCTCAATTAGCTATTATTTTACTACATTATTATCAAACAATTTCTATAATTTGTTATATCTTTTAATAAAGCACCTACCTAAGTTTAGTAATAAAATGTGGGAAATTAAAACTGTTATTATATATGAAACTACAAAAAATATAATATATTGTAAACTTTATGAATAAAGATTAACAATGATTTCCCAAACGTATACTCCCTCCGTTCCAATAAGATATATGCTTTAGTATTACCATACATATTAAGAAAACCTCTTAAATTTTGATTATAAGTGTATTATTTTTTGTGATAAACCATTTCCTATAAGTGATAACCAATCAAAATTCAATAATAACAATTAATTTTCTTGAAATCTACTATTTATCATTAGTACTTGAAATAAAGAAATTTTCTATAATATGGATTAATTTGAAATGGAGGGAGTATGATGCAGGTACTATACTTTTTGTTTTTTTTTTATTTACTTTCAGTTCATTAATTTGCATCTAATTTGAAAACACTGAAATGATTCTGATTCCTGGTTTATGTTACTTTTGCTTAGAGTAGTCTTAGGTGTATGGATAATGCAAAGTGATGTCCTTGTAAATTTCACTTTAGCTATGTTCATTATTTATTTTCTGATCATTTTGTTTCTCATTTGAGCAGATTGGTTTTCCCTAAGCATAGTGGATCGGCTTGAAAGACAAGTGGTGCCACAATACTTCTCTGGAAAATCTCCAAATCATGCACCAGAAAGTTATAGGGAGTTTAGGAACGCCATTGTTTCGAGATATATGGATAACCCTGAGAAGACACTGACGGTTTCTGATTGCCGAGGATTCGTAGATGGTGTTGACATTGAAGATCTTGCAAGAGTTTTCCGTTTTCTTGATCATTGGGGAATAATCAATTACTGTGCTACTTCTCAGTGTCATCCTTGATCCGAGAAAGTTAACATATAAATATAATCTAATTGTGGGAGACATAACTTCTAGCTCAATGTTTCATAGCTAAATATATAAAAAGTTGTTTTTGGTGCATACCCTTTGGATGGACTCCTTGTTCGGAAACTCGCTAGGCGCTACGCGTGCGGATAGGTAGCGCCTAGCGCCGAATTGATAAATTGGAGATTACACGGAGATTAATCGGAGAGTAATTTTGGGGTTTATATCTCTGTTTTAGGGTTATATATTAAGTATGTTCAATTTTAAAAAAAGTATATGACATAGTCTCGTGTTAATATGCTTCTCCACTCAACTAGACGTGTCCGGGTTCGATGCTAGGAGGCCGCCTTTTGTCAATTTTTTTTAGCTTTTAGGTTAATAAACTACAAAATTACATAAGTAACCTTGTCTTCAACATATACCTGCAATTTTTCTGGGTAGAGTTACAGCCGCCATAGTTTTTTTTTTGTGATTTCATCGTTTCATCTCGAAAATCTTAGATCTTTTAACCAAAATATAACAAATGTATGACATATTCATCGTTTAAACACACAAAATCTAAGAAAACGATGCTGTTTTTTATTTTTTCCGATTAGTTAGCCGGATAGCACCAAATCGCGGCGGTCCTTCTCCGCCTAGCGAATTTCCGGCAATAAACCGACATAGTTAACCGCGTTTTTGAACAAGGGATGGACTCGATCAATAAAGTTTTATTTTATATTAAACCACTGCTCGGTTAAGCATTCTAACACAAACAAATTAAATTAATATGTACATTATCACAATGAATGCTATGTCGATTTAGAATTTTAAAATCAAATCTAGAGAAACTAAAGATTTATAGATACTCTGAATGTATAGAAATTTATACGCTGACGTGTCACGTGTACAAAGTTTCTCAGCCAAACTTTACATAAATGTGTTTATATTATGAATTTTCCAGTTTTTTCAATATAAAACTCACTTGCAAAGTTCTAATAAAAATCACACTAACCGAAGCAAACGTCTCCACTCCCGACACTTGAATCTTCTCGCAAGACTGGAAGAAAATGTCGCTTTTGGCCTCGGCCTTCAAAGGCTATTTGGATTGGATGTGATAGGGTCATCTCTTTCACTCCGTTGAGTCAAGATTAGGCGATAGCTACTGAGTGATGCATTAACTTAGCTCCTCTGCCCTACTTTGTTGTTGGTTGCGCCATTGCTGTTAGTTTGATTGGAATTGCAGGTTTATATGAGCTGGGTTGTGGAGGTTCTTCGATTCCTTGGAGCTCCGGATATCACTTTGAGGTTGCATGGAGGAGGTAGTAAGACTGGGGAAGTGGTGATGCTGCCCCTTTCTATGTACTGACTTAGAGGGCGAGTGCGGTTGAGTTAGCTGATCGCTATTAAGCACCACAGGTTTGTGTTGTCTTGTATATTGCTAGAATCCGGGTTTAGTTCTTTCCCAGCCCGGACCTAGAGGACAGTCCTTAAGCGGGATTGTTTATGTTCCTCGGAGTAAAGCAAGTTGTGCAGGCAGCCTATAATCCACTTCCCACTAGCGTTGTGTTCCTTGTGTTTTAGTTTCTGGGGTCTCTCCTTCCAAGCCCGTCTTGGATCTGGCTACTACAAGTTTGTATCGATACTTGATGTCATGTTCGCTCCAAAGCAGAACGGTCTCAAGTTCGATTGATTCTGCTTCCACGTTTTTTTACCTTTTTTGCCTTGGAAGTAAGTTATAGAGGTCTTATAGTTTGTTTATCACAAGTTGTAAACCTCAACAGTTCATTTCTGAAATGATATTTACAATTTAGCAAAAAAAAAGGGTGTTTGATATAGAAACGGCTCAATCGTGGCTCATCTTCACTAGTTATTGTTGTTGCTTTTCACATCATCTATTAGTTGAACATAAAGAGATTTGGGTTTGGATTTTTTTTTAAAAAACAGTCTTATATATATAACTGATATAAATTAACGACTCCAAATACTCAAACCATGAGATGCATATGTGAAACAACCAACAATCATCAGGATATATTTTATCTATTATATTGTAACGCCATATGTAAATGCAATTTATTTACTTGCGTCCTAGTTGTGTCAATGAGTCTCATAATACTAACTAAATGTCCGTCGGTAGAATCTACAACCACCTCTGTATCCTCTAAACAGGACAAGAAGTGTGTAAACCTAAAGACATCTAGGTTGTACTTGGCCTGACAGAAGATTGCCCACCACCCTCCCCAACGGTTATCTTCCATGTTGTACACATGAGCCAAACCAGTTGAACCATCCTTTTCTTTATCTCTCACCACCATATGCTTCCCATCGTATGCAATCACGTTCCAATATTCAAACTCACCATCCGTCAAAAGTACATTCTCGATCTGCCTGGCAAGGGCCCATTTAGAGGTATCTCCCATTAGTGTGTAAACTGATATTGTTTCCTTGGTCCCGGATATTAAGGTCAGACGATTGATCTTGTCATCGATCGTGAAAAACAGTTTCATCTCTGGTTCCTTGTGGAATACGGAGGGAATCAAGCGTGCTTGCTCTGTCTCAATATTGAAAGCTATGATGCTACCGTCGTTTCTAAACCAGTGTAGCGTGCCATCCAAGTAAACAGGTTTCATTCGCTTTGTGAGCTCATTTTTTGAGTTGTTGTCGGTGGTGATGATCGTTTCAGAAAATCTCCACGAGTTTCCGTCGCTGATCTCAAATGCGTACGTGGCATGAATCTCAAGTATGCAGACGATCTTGAATCCCTTGGGTCGAGTTTGATCTAACGCAAAACCAACGCACATAGATCTCTCTGGATTAGCCTTGGGACCATTGAATATTGTAGCAAGAAGCATTGAGCCAGAGTGATCCAAGAGTCGAAACCTTTTTGTGAGGGGATTCACGACGTAGAGGCCACTCTTGTATAGTAGGAGATGGCCAGAGCAGGAGCCGAGGATATAACTGTGTCCTCGCGTAGAAAAATACGTTTTTACGTATGAATCAGATTCACATTGAGAGCCAAAAGGCTGGTAGAAGACGAAAGGGGCGCCTTTGCTAAAAGTGTAAATAAAACTGAGTTGCGCACGAGATGAATATCCGATTTCAAAACTCGGATCATCGGATATATGTGATTTGATGGATCTATTTGTGCACTGCATCATCACCAGAGATTTGAGATCTAATCTGAAGAGAATATTGTCTAGGAGATGCATAGGCAAAGAATTCATTATCAAAAGTGAGAACCGTGCGTACGTCCTACTTGAACTTTTTTTTTGTTGGGTGTATTTCAAAAGTTTGTTTGATGATGTTCAATAAACAACAAATTTATAGATGAAATAAATTGATCTGAAGATAATCTCCCTTTTATAAAGAAATCTAATTTTCGAATTCTGGAGAGGTAAAAAATCATTAAAACTGGAAATATATTTACTCTTTACATATATATATATCTGAAGGACTCATTAGATTTAATTTAAAAGATTATATATTTATAGTTTTCTTATACTGTATGATTTTTTTTAGCTATTTTTAAGAAAAAATATTAAAAATATAATATCCATCAATAATGAACATTTCCTACTTATTTCAGTGTTTGTATTTTTACTTGTGTGGTTGTAAAAAACTAAAAACGTAGTTTTCCTATTGAGTTAAAGTAACAACAAGTTCAAGCAAATGTAACAATCAATTTAAATAAAGAAGCAAAGGAAAGAATGGCAAGAAAATCTCACCATAATATAAGTGAATTAACTAAAGTAGATAATATATTAAATTTTGATGGATTTTGAAATCCAAGTTTTTTTAATCGCCTAAGATTTAATCATAACTATTTAAATGTTTTTTTCTGTAGATTACAAGTTACAAAGGTATCAGAATATAAATTATATATGGCCTTTTTCAAAAAAAAGAAGATAATCAATACAATTAAAAGAGTATCATTCCCCTTAATGAAATACTTATGTTTTCCAAAATCGTGATTAATTTTATGAACAAATTAAAATTTTCATTAATGGCATTATTGTCTTTTGTTTTTTGTGCCTAAGAACTATATATTTAAGTACATATCAATATTCATTTAATGGGTTAAATTCTCTTTCTAATTATCTTTCAAGTTTCTTGCAAAAATACTTTAATGAACGTAAATTAATTAACTGATTGATATCATTTTTCCAAAATAAAACTACACGATTACATACAATACATTTACACGATTCTTTACAATCTCTTGATGGAAAAGTAATCTTGATAAGGCGCAATTGAGAATATTGACACAACATAGTGTTCCCTGCAAGTTAAAATCTAAAGTAATTTAAAAAGTTATATTAGATATTGAAATTTGGTAACTAAATGATTTTACGAATTAATCACAAAGCTAGAAATAAAATTTGGGTCACTTTATATGTTTAGAAATATGTAATGGAAGTATAATTGTTAAATATACAATATTGCGCAAGTAAAAATTTCAGATACAATTATTGTTTAACTTATTATAAACATAAAATGGTTATCTGAGACATTGTAAAATAAAAAATTCTTCATATCCACATAAGTGAAACTTGATCTTGATCTTAATCATGTGATATTTTATATCATCAAAACAAAAGATTTATTGATCCATTTGTAGATAAAACAACAAAAAATAGTATGGGGTCAAAAATCTAGTATATATTAGTTTCAGTAATTAATTATATATATATATATATATATATATTCTAATAGATGATGATTTGAAATGAGCAACAACAATAACTAGTGAAGATGAACCGCGATTGAGCTGTTTCTATAATCAAACACTTGGAACCTAAAATAAAGTCTCAAACTGGAGCAGACCCTATTAAATATAGTGTCTTCAATAGAATCTAGATCACGGAAAATAAGCAGCCAAGTTGTTTGACCATTATTCGCACAAGTCTGACCAATCTATAGTTTCACCATCGCTACAACATACAAAACGTAATCATTAACATGAACAGATCAATCTAACTTATCAGGTTCATGCTATCGAACCATGCTTGCTCTCCTTAAAATCATAAGCTTTAATTACATCTTCCCAACTTCTTGCAATATTTGATCTGATGAGCCTATAATATTCATCCCGACGCCATATTCTTCGTCATTGTTTCATTAAATTTGAGTTCTACTAGTGTACACAATTTTGTGGTTAGTATTTAATTTGTGTGACTTAACTTATAATTTATAGACACTTGTTAGTAGGTGGATATTTATAATCTGAGCTATTTTGATTTTCTTTGATTGATTGTGTAGTTATGGATTAGTAGTAGAAGTTAATCTGAGCTATATGTCGAACATAGATTGAATTTGAATTGTAGTTTGAATCTTAAATATAATCTGAGCATACTCGGTGACTTAGTTATTCACAATCTCTTAGTTTGGATACTGAAACGTGGTTGCATATGGTGGTGAAAGGTAAAGAAAAGGTAGTAGTACAACTGGTGTGGCTCATTTGTACAACATGGAAGATAACCGTTGAGGAGCTTGGTGGTCAACCTCATGTCAGGCCAAGTACAACCTAGACTTCTTTAGGTTTACACCCTTCTTTTCTTTTTTCGAGCAGACAGAGTTGATTGTAGCTTCTAAGGACAAACATGTAGCTAGAATTATGGGATCCTTTGATACAACCAAGCCAACAAATTCAGTGTTTAGTTCTCTTGCGCTAAGATTTGATGAATAAAATGTCCTGATTGGTGTGTCTTTTTTCACTTATGCATCTCATGGTTAGGTACTTTGGAGTCTAATAATTAATACTCTTGTGTTTTATAAGACCCGTCTATTTAAAATCCAAAGCCAAATCTCTTTATGTTCAACTAAATAGATGATGATGATGTGAAAAGAGCAACAATAACTAGTGAAGATGGGACGCGATTAAACCGCTCTATAATCAAAACACTTGGATAGAAGCAGATGATGATGATGAATCCGATTAATCCATCCTTCCCTTTAGGATACTCTCTTTAATCTCGGTTGGTGTTCTGCAACATAAACCAATAGAGTATGTTTAAGATGTAAATGAACAATTCAATTTCTCAAAATCTAGAAAAAAAAAGAACAAACAATCATCTCAATCTTCTCTCTCAAATAGCTTTTACCAAAAAAAAAAATGTTTAAGATGTAAATGTGGGATTACATTATATATGTGGGGAAAAAATGCAGAAGAAGTTGGAAACTTACACAACGTTGACAGTTCCTCGGCTTCCTGAAAAAAATGCAATTTGTTAAGCCAGAGTCCTTGATACATAGGTGACAAGTACATTGGAGGATGGCTAACAATATATCCAACAGAAAATAATGACTATTGTAATTCCTGTGGGGAATGACACAAATTTAAGATTCTACTTTTATGTAGAAGATCAAGTCTTAAACTTAAACCTACCAAACTAAACCGTGGTAATTTAAGAATTCGCATCGAATGGATTCAGTAATAATGAAAAAAAAAACAGATGATAAAGTTGCTAGTAGACAAACCATGTCTGACTTGTACATGGCTTCACAGGCTCCATACAGTGATTCTGAAGCAGTTCCAGATATAACTAAACCTATAGCCAACTTGGCAACTTCCTGCCACTTTTACAAAGTATAAAAACCACAAGCATTACAACATGTCGGCCATTATATCATGCAACCAAACAAAGTAATGGAGAACTCATCCTCGAAACAGGCCAAAAGCAGCAAATAAACATGACGACTAGTTATGAACATAGCTGTATGAGTATGCGTCATTAGACACAAGTCCAACCAAATAATTTTATAAGGAAAAGAAGCAACGCATATATAGGCAGTAACAAGAACTGCACCAAGCTAAATGACACTGAACTACGTCCCTACGAAGCAGAAATGCAACAAAGGAAAGGAGATGAGCTTATGAGTCCATGTTGCAGATGAACGGCTTCATATCTCTCTCTTCCCGAAGCTTACCGACATCGGGAGATTAAGGTTTGTATAGTGAGATTTGAATAAGCTTTTGATTCACACTCGAACAGAAATAACCAACCCTTGCGTTCACTGTTCAGTGTGGTTGATAAGGAACTGTAAACGAACATTACGGCCGGAAATCTTGACATAGGAACAAATCCCAATTCAAACATTGAATTTTTTTTGGTAGACATATTAAATACGAATCATTTTATTTCCAATTCAAACATTGAATTTTTTTTGGGTAGCCATACTAAATCTGAATCATTTGATTTCTTCCGTTTTATCCTCTTTTCTCTAAATGAAAGAACTTAATTAGATTTGAATTCACTCACAAGAAAATAAAATTCTAGAAATTTAGTATAAAAATAGAGATATCTAATTTAAAACTGTTAAAACCATACAGAAACAATAACCAAATAAAATATGACAGATGTAACTCTGATAGCTATCGGAAAATTGTCAATTCTACAACAACAACAACAAAAAAAAACTCAAAGACTAAATCAACGTTTAGAGATAGATTAGCACTCTTGCTTGAAGAAAAAAAATCAGTCAGGGATGGATCCTGACACAACGGTCATCATTCCTCGCGCCAAGTTTGCTTGCACTTGACACATCTATAAAAATATCTGATTCTGACTCATCCGTTGAACGAATCTGCATTGTTTTGAAATATGATTTGTCTTGCCCGCATATTGGGCATGGTGCTAGCAGACAAACAAACAAGGAATCCAAGGAAAATCGAGGTAGACAAAGGAAGCAAAGAGAGAAATACTTCCATATACTTGTTACTCACTAAATCAAGTGTGCTCGCAATTTCTTGATTAGAGTTTTCTATCATCACTTACACTCACAAATTAACCGAGCTTGAGTCATTAAGAATACTATTAGACCAATAACCATGTCCCTCTATTTAGAATGGAAAAGGTTCCAAAATAGCGAGAAAAATACCTTCAATTTCAGGTCCTTTGGTATATCATCTTTCTTCAGAACAAGGTCAATGGATTTCTTAACCAGCAATTGTTTTTTCTTTATCTCAACCTGTTCTAAAGTCAGAGATATAAAAGACTTTTACTGTGGTTTTTGATTAGTTTAAGTAAGAATTAAGAAAAAATCGTTAAAATTTAACTGCTTTTACATTCATATCGCTTCATCTAGGAATATTATACATGGAGCTGTTCATCAATACTGCATATGATATAAATTGTAGATCATTATAGGTAATAAAATTGAAGATTGTATTATCATATAATTGTTATCAGTATTAAAAAAATCCCCAACGTGTATATAGCTTCTTTTAGTTTTTTTTTGTTATAATTTTTTTCCAATACCTTATTTTTCTATCCGTTGCTTTAAAAGAAAATCACTTCTTCTAAATTTTAAAATCAACCTTACCATTTCTTCTTTTCTGGAGTTAATAACTATAGTTTCTACTGTCATTCTTAGAAACAATGAACAAAACTACGAGGCAGAGAAAAATATCAAACAATGTTCTACTATATCAGCTTTAGAAAGTGATTTTCGCCGTCATCAGACCACCGACTTCATTACGAGATACAATATTTTTGTTTAGTCTCATTTGTTTCTTACAATAATTGTATCTCTTATCTATTGTAATTCCAACTCGTGCACTAAAAAAGAACCCAACGCACATATATTAAAGACTTACTAATCTTTAACTAACCTTTTCCTTGAAGATTCTTGCAATTTTCGTTATTTTCTCCGCTTTGCGTTGAGAAAGATTAGAATCTAAAACAGAACAATTGCTCTAACAATTTATTAAAGATTTAATCAACTCACAGTTTCTCAGAATCTTTCAATTTTTGATCAGCAGCGAATATCCTCTTCATGGCGATATCGAGTTCTTCTTCTCGGTATGCAACAACTCTTAGGCCTTCTGGGATGCTAGGGATCAGCTTAAGGGAGCTTCTGAATGGTAAACCAACATCCAGGAGTTGAAGCAGCCGATGATCCCCCAGCCTTTTAACCCATCTCAACGCTTGAATCGGGTCTTTGTTTCCATGTTGACAATGCACAGACTTTACCCGACTTCAAATTTTTGGTTAGAAGCCACTTTTCTTCAGAGACCTTGGACGATGGGATAAGCTTTCCTAGACTTCTCCAGGTGGAGCACACTTTATTGAACATATTGTGCTCCACTGGGTCCAGATCAGAGCAGATTTTATCGGCAACAGGTCTGGCCAATCCCTACAACACACAAAACAGAAATGTCAAAGAGTTAGTCAAAAGTGAAACAAGTAAAGATTTCGATCAGACGAGACTATGATCTTCATCGTGAGTTTGTCATTCATCGTAATTTTCTATCAGAAAAAGAGAAGTGATGCGGGGACTACGAAATACAAAAGCTTCTTTTATAGTGGATGGAGGAGTGTGTGATAGGAATATCAAGTATAAGTCCGATTTAGGCAATATATGTTTAGTAATTTCATTTATATATTTCGGTTTATCTAACTCGTTTAGTTTGTTTAAACTAAAAGGATGGTGTATACCTATGGCATTGGTTTCTGTAAAATGCTCTTTTTGTTAAATGCTCTTTCAAGCTGATCAGGAAAACACGAATGCACATCTTATTTATTAAAACATAAGTCACAATCTTAATTCATGTGTGATTTTTTTTTTAAAATGAACTATCACTAGAAAGTTATTAATTTCATAACATCTTATTATTTAAATCTCATGAGTAACCGAGAAATATTATATCTATCATACTAAATAATTTTATTTTCGCCTTACTGAATAATACATGAACCATTAACTAAAATCTGACAAACCAATTCACTCTAATAGTGGGAACGATTTACCAAGTTCATAAAATTAGACAATTATAAACATATAAACCAAATATAAACAATTATATATATATATATATATATATATATATTTAGAAACAAGTATATAAACATGCAAGTCATTAACCCTTTGTTCATCATCTAAACAAACCGGTTCAAGGTAACTTTGTAACAATTTAAATTTAGCATATTCTTATTTGCGCACAAAACTGTTTATATTATAAACCTATATCATATACAACCTATCTCTTTCTAATTATACACATGACAATCGCAAATAATTTAATCTGTACTGTTTTATATACACAAGAAACTTACATGCTGCATATATTTATACCATATTGTATACATGTCATGTCCAAAAATGAGAACCCAATATAAAATCAAACTAAAGAAATTATATGAATAAAATAAAAGGTAAAATTAAATAAATTTCCTTTATCTAATATATTAAAATAGAAGTCATGACTCTTTTAATGTGTGATATTTAAATGGACCATCTACTAGAATTTGTCACATTACATTATTCAATCATTAATTAGTAACTTTAAAATTAATTGCATATAATTTTGGGCTTACCCAAAAATTTTATTGGGCTAACAATAATTGGAGAATCCATTGAATTTCTATATAATATAATAAAACACATGTTTAAATTAAATGGATATGATTTAATATTGTAATATTATATCTCATAAGTTAATTATTTATAATATATTTGTTGATGTTAAATTTTATAATTATATAGTTTATTTTTTAAAATAACAAAAATCATCATATTCTAACAATGATTAAGCTATACTACCTTAAACCAATAGAAACATTTTTTAAGTTATATAGTTTATTTTAAAAATAACAAAACTTAAATGTATAGTTATTTACTCCATAATATGGAGCTAAAATTTTTATTTTTGTTAAACTTTCTAAATTTGAGAAATATTACAATATCTTTAAAGATAAGAATAAAACAATATTTTACCAATCTTTACATATATTTACGACTTTAATAATGAAATAATAATTCAAAAAATATATATAGAAGAAGATACAAATACATGTGAAGGTTTGAAACAATTTATTCTATGAAAAACTAATATATGATAAAATTATTATCTTTTAAAAATTGATATACATATATATATATATATATATATATCAATTTAGAAATGAAAACAAATTGTTTTAAAAAATTGAAAAAAATGTTTCTATAAAAATAAATGAAAATAAACACCCGTGCGGTTGCGCGGGTCGAGATCTAGTTAGAATATTAAAATACCAAAACAAGCATCCAAATTCCATTAACATGGCACGCATATTTAGTATATGTATCACGCAATATCAATATTTCATAGAGTTTCCAAAATCATGAACCATCATTTAAAATTGATGCAAATAAATCTTACCAGTGTAAAAGGACATTCCATTAAATAGTATTGATTATCCAATAAATAGAAATTACCATCTTAACATACCAAAATCCTCATTTTCTGTATATCATTTAAATTTTAAAAGAATTGAGATACACGAAATCAATTTAAATTTCCTATAACAATTCAAAGCCTTTTATTCATTTACATAAAAACACCCAGAAAACAAGAAAAATATCGCAAGATACCACTAATTTTTTGTATCATAATATAACACACAATGATTAAAATAACCAAAATGTTTCATTAAAGAAGTAAATAGATACTTATATCCTTATGGTTAATTAATACAGACTTATAGTTTAGATTTGAGGGATAAAAAATGATTGTTTTTATCATAATATAACACAAAATGAATTAAAATAACCAAATATGTTTTAGATAGTTTCAAAATCAATTTGGATTTCAAAATAAAAGGTTTTAAGGATTTTTTTTTAATATTCAAAAATAAAAATAAAAGAAAGTTTAAATTGAAAAACATATTAATAGAAAATAACAAAAAAAATCTTATATATTTTTTAAATAGTTATTTATATTTATATATCTATAATTTCCCCTTTAATAAACCTATTTTAGTCATTTTTATCCATGTGTGTTCTTTTAGTGTAAAATTCATTTTAGTCATTTTTCTCTCTGTTTTATAATATATGAAGTTTTAGGTTAGTGCACAAAGATTAAGAAACTTATTTTCTTCTAAAAAATATTTATATAAATATAATTTTAAAATCATTCCGCCAATTATTACAAAAATGTAAAATCTGATCGGTGGAACATTTACCAATAAAGTTAAAATTTACTTTAAAATCTCAAAACATCTTATATTTTGAAACAACATAAATCTTCTAAAACATCATATAATTTGAAATATCTTTTAATTGAATTGTCCATGAAATATTGATTAACTGATTAAAAAAAAAAATATATATATATATATATATCTTTTAACAACAAAAACAGAGTGTTAATTTAGGAGAGAGAGACACCGTGGCTTGGGTTTTTGGTGGGGTCCTAAAGGCTAAGCACTTCATTAAATCTTCCAATAATGATGTTCTAAGAACAATATTATTGGTGAAACTCATGAGGATTTCTAAAATAAAAAAAATTATTAGTATTATAATATATCTAGTTTTTAAGGCAGTTAAAAAGTTATTAGAGTGACATCTGTTAAAACTCTTTTTAACCAAGTTTTGAAAACATTGTAAGAACCTTTTAGGCTTCTCTCCCATATTTTTATTGTTTTTCATTTATTATGAGAATTCTTTTTATCATGGACCGTTGGAGCTGCATTCTAAGGCCGACGAATTCTTTACATCCGTTAATATATATAGCTTTAGAGAAAAACATTAAATCTTGTTAAGACTCATCGCATTGTGGCAACACCCTTCACTGGATTGCACACTTACATGAACCCTGTAAAAATGTTCCTCCAAGTCCAACATGTTTTACATAAAACAAAAAATACTAAGTTAAATTAAACTAAATAGTGAAATCATGTAAGAAGTTTTGGAGTGAAATTTGAAGCAACCGTTGATTTTAAAATCGAAGTCAGAACTCCGTCTTCCAAACCCTCTATTTCCGTAAGAGGGTTAGGCCGCTTTGTAAAATGAATTGAATAAATACAGAGAAAGACTAACGAAAGACAATGTCAGGAAGAAGGGGTTTGCTATGGTGTTGCTAGAAAGCTAGAAACGAAGAGAGACTCGGAGGCTAGAAGAGAAGGACGAATAAAGCAATTTTACTACTTTAACCTTTAATTCAATTATAAGAATCAGAGAGTCTCCAGTCTCCACCCCCACAAAAAAAATGCCAGCTTCTGAAGGTAAAATTGCATAAAGAAACTGTCTTTCAATCTCTATCTTCCTCAAAATCCAATTTTGGATTGGGATTTGAATTACCCATGTGGATCGTATGAATGGGTAACGACTTGATTTTTGGCAGATAGAAGAGGGAAATGGAAACGGCGGAGGCGAGGTGGGAGGAAACCTAAGCAAGAGGAGGAAGACATAGAGGAAGAAGAAGACGAGGAAGAGATGGAGGAGGCTGATAATAATAATAATAATGCAGATGAGCTTCACCTAAACGGCGCCGTAACACCTGATCCGGGACCAGGTGATGGAGAAGTAGTTGGAGATTGTTGTGAGCGAATCTCTGGTTTCCCTTCTGTGGTTAGGCGCGTGGTGATACGCCCTCACGCGTCTGTAACTGCCATTATGGCGGCTGAGAGAGGTTGTTTGAGAGGGGAGGTTAAAGGGTTAGGATTGCTTCCTGCTCTGGAGAATATTTCGTATGGGCAGTTGCAGGCTTTGTCTACTGTTACTGCTGATTCTTTGTCATTTGATGGTGAGAGGAGTGATGGAGCGGCTTGTGTCATCTCTCCACCGTCTATTATGGAAGGAGAAGGTGTTGTTAAACGGTTTGGGGATAAGGTTCATGTTTTGCCTATGCATTCAGGTTTGTTTTTTATTTACTTTCAGTTCATTAATTTGCATATAAGTTGAAAACATTTCTGAATCCTGGTTTATGTTACTTTGGTTTAGACTAGTCTTAGGTGTATGGATAATTGCAAAGTGATGTCCTTGTAAATTTTCACTTTAGCTATCTTCATTATTTATTTTCTGATCATTTTGTTTCCCATTTTGAGCAGATTGGTTTTCCCTAAGCACAGTGGATCGGCTTGAAAGGCAAGTGGTGCCACAATACTTCTCTGGAAAATCGCCAAACCATACACCAGAAAGTTATATGCATTTCAGGAACGCCATTGTTTCTAAATATGTGGATAACCCTGAGAAGACACTGACGGTTTCTGATTGCCAAGGATTGGTAGATGGTGTTGACATTGAAGATCTTGCACGAGTTTTCCGTTTTCTTGATCACTGGGGAATAATCAATTACTGTGCTACTTCCCAGTGTCATCCTGGGCCTTCTAGGGATGTTAGGGAGGATGCTAATGGTGAGGTCCATGTGCCTTCTGCTGCTTTGACATCTATTGATAGTTTGATCAAGTTTGACAAACCCATCTGTAGTAGACACAAGGCGGCAGATGAATCCTTGCCATGTTCGAATTTTGACCTCTCTGACTTGGACATCAGAATTCGTGAACACTTATGTGATAACCACTGCAACCATTGTTCTAAACCGCTTCCAACTGTGTACTTCCAGTCACAAAAGAAGGTTTGTGTCCTGCTTCCTCTACGAACTGTTCTTTGTGTTTCATTATCTGATGTAATTAATATACTCACAAACCTTATCTTCTCTACTTTTCAGGAGGATGTACTATTGTGCTCTGATTGTTTTCACGATGCAAGATTTGTTGTTGGACATTCTTGTATTGACTTTCTAAAAGTGGATACAAGCAAAGATTACAGGGATCAAGATGGAGAGAATTGGAGTGATCAAGAAACTCTATTGCTTCTTGAAGCTGTGGAGCTCTACAATGAAAATTGGGTTCAGATTGCGGACCATGTTGGTTCCAAATCAAAAGCTCAGTGTATTCTTCATTTTCTTCGGTTACCAGTGGAGGATGGTCTTTTGGATAATGTTGAGCTTCCAGGTGTAACTGATCCGGCAAACCCTACAAATGGATATGATCACAGAGAAACAGATTCAAATGGGGCTTCTTTACCTGGTGATTCTGTTTACTTTCATCTCAAACTGTAAATTATTGGTTGTGGTTGTGTTCTTTGACATCCCATTCTCATTGTCGACGACTTGATTTTGCAGGATCTTCTGAGCAAGATTCTGGCACTGAGATCAATCTTCCTTTTGTCAAGTCTCCGAATCCGGTTATGGCATTGGTTTGTGAATTTTTTTCTCGCTGCAGAATTCATAACCGAGTTGTTGTCCTATCAATCAATCATGTTAACTGTGTTTTTGGGATATAACGACCATTTTAGGTTGCATTTTTGGCATCAAGTGTTGGACCTAGAGTTGCTGCGTCCTGTGCCCATGAGTGCCTAACAGTTCTATCTGCGGATGATAGGTTAGTGTAGTATCTCCTGCTCACTATAAGACTTTGTCGTAGCTTTTGTTCATTTTCTTTATGTATACATCTGATGAACTATGCTGAAACTTGTCAAGGTTGAAATCTAATGGCTTGGTTGATGGAGAAAACCAGCAGCTACTAGATGGTATGGCATGTTGCTTGATTGCTCTCTTTACAGTAATTTTGTTGGCTCCTTCGTTTCTTCTTACCTAATACCGATCTTCTTTTGATTGCAAAAGAAAACTCGGGAGCACAGAAAGCATCCTGCCAAAACGGAGCAGAAGCACCGGCTCCACTGCCGCAGGAGAAGGTTATGGCTGCATTTAGAGCCGGTCTATCAGCAGCAGCAACAAAAGCCAAATTGTTTGCTGATCATGAAGAACGCGAGATTCAGAGGCTTTCTGCAAATATTGTAAATCATCAGGTATATAGTTGGCGTTGATAATTTATATGATTGGTTGATATTTTTTGTTGATAGTGTTTTATTGCTGATACGAGTAAAAAACTTTAAAATCATCCCACAGTTGAAAAGGATGGAGCTGAAGCTAAAGCAGTTTGCAGAAATAGAAACGTTGTTGATGAAAGAATGCGAACAAGTAGAGAAAACTCGTCAGAGATTTGTTGCAGAAAGAGCACGTATGCTTTCAGCAAGATTTGGATCAGCTGGAGGAATCGTCACTCCACAGGCTAATAGTAATAATAATAATCTCCAAGGCATGTCACTATCCACAGGTGGTGGTAACAACATCAATACTCTACTGCAACAGCAACAAGTTTCAGCAGGCTCTTCTCAACCAAGCATCATTCCGGGATTCAGCAACAACCCACAAGTTCATGCGCAGATGCAGTTCTTGGCACGCCAACAACAACAACAACAACAAGCGTTTTCCTTTGGCCCAAGATTGCCTCTTAATGCTATACAGACCAATGCAGGATCAACGGCTTCACCAAATGTCATGTTTGGCAGTAACCAATTTAATAACACTGCAGGTGCATCAGGAGCAGCAGCATCTATCAACCAACCTTCGTTTAGTAACCCGATGGTTAGGTCTTCCACGGGTTCTGGATCAGGATCTGGCTTAGGCTTGAACTAAAACCCCATCTCTTTAGCTTATTTAGCCTATCATATTGCTTTGAGACCGTAGTGTTATTATAAGTTAGTTTCTGCATGTAGGTATCATTAATTTTCTGAAATCACCATTGTCAATCAAAATCAGTTACAAAACTATGTTCTCTTCAGAGTTTTTCTCTACTTGGTCTTGGTCATTTCATCAAACTTTATAAAAATCATGTCTTTTTGTCACATTCAATAATACTAGCTCGACAAGTGCTATTACGACAATTCATAAGGTAGAGGTCCGTTGCAAACTCAACATAAACAAACCAAAAATGAAAATCAAGATGCAGAGCTTTGAAGTTGGAGCTTCAGAAGTCTTGAGCCATTTCTGAGAGTGCACGAATTGTATTGCTAGCCACGTCCAGAAGCTGAAGATACTCATCCGCACCATCTACAAGTCGCTGAATGCATCAAAAAGGGAACATGAGTCTTCAAATAACACCCTAGAAGAAAGGAAAATAGAATCCAGAAGAGAGAAGTCTCACCTTATCTGTTTCAGCTAGACATTTGCAGATCTTTGCCTTTTGATTGTCTGTTATGTCATCACCAGCCTCAACGACTATACCAAATAACTGAAAGGAGACTTTTGTATTAGACGTGTTGATAACCATAATTGCCACAAAAATGAAAGAGAAATAGAAAACCTGATTGATGATTTGAGATGCAGGATATCCTTCTGCAACTATGTTGTCCACTTCCTTGTTTGCAATATCGAAATCACCACTTTTGCATGAAGTAAAAAAACTCTGGACTACCTCCAGAGGAACTACCTGAAAGGTTCAAAAGACATTCAAAATTAACTCTTTGACTGAGTTTTAAACTTGCGCAAAAGTAGATTATCTTCAGCCTTACCCCAGACACATTGACTAAATCCGTGGAATTTATTGTTGATCCAAACAACCGTGCAGCACTCTGTATTATTCAAGGAGAAATGCTGGATCAAATCTCAGAATCACAGTCAATCTAACACAGAAAGTTAGTTTCATCTAACCTGCAGATACGTGATGGCTCTACGGAGATCACCTTGTGATATGGAGCTCAAAGTTGAAAGAGCCTACACGGGAAACAGCTACTAGTATTAGAAGTTTTGACAAAGACAACAAAAGAAAGGCGAACCTTAAAGCATATGTGCACACCTCTCCACCAAGGTTGAGACCTTCTTCATTACATATAAGCATTACACGGTTACTCATGACTTCTTCGGAAAGTGGTTTAAACCTGAACTTTGCACATCTTGAAGCAAGGGGCTCTATGATCCTTGAGCAAAAAATAAATTATAAAGGTTATCAAAATTGGTGGGTCCATAGTTCAACTATCTACAAAATGTTCTTCATTATGAATAAGTAAAAATGTTTCTACTAGCAGCTCAATGATATGACTTACGAGTCTATAAAACGAAAGAAACCATAATAAAGAAATTACCTGCTGATATAGTTACAGATGAAAAAGAATCTGGTGACTTTGGAGTAAGTTTCCATTGTGCGCCTCAAGGCGTTCTGCACAATCAGTAATATAGTTCATGGTAAACGCAATTTTTGAAGTAGAAAATGTGGTAGTAAATAATATGTTCAGCGTACCTGAGCATCTTCCGTCATGGAATCAGCCTCATCTAGGATGATGATCTTAAAAGATGGACAAGGATAACCGCTGAAATATGAAATCATGGTCTTAGATGAAATACACACTACACACGGAATCATAAACAAGAAACTAACAAAAAAAAAGAAGGAAACTTGACAAAAGCCAAAAAAAAAGAAGAAGGTTATTGCATAATACCCTTGACGGTTGTTGGAGCCAACAGCAACAGCAGCAAAATCCTTAATCTTTGTGCGAACAACATTAATCCCTCTGTCGTCACTAGCATTCAGCTCCAACACCCTAGACTTGTACAACTCAGGTCTGTGTAAAAAGAAATCTTTAGCTAGTCCAACAGTCATAACTGCAACTTTTAGCTTGCAAATTACAGCACGATGAAAAAAGCAAACCAATGACACTTTGATGATATGCAGACATTATAAGAAACTCAAAAGAAGCTTAAGCAAACTTCGCTTCAACTTGCTTCAAAGAGGACTAAAACTTTCAAATTCAAAATCCAAAAACACTTACAAGGCCACACAACATAATGGCTAGTGTCTACTCTCATCAAGAATTCAAGCATAACTATCTGACTGTGTGGTTAAATTATGAAATAGGTTTCAACACTAAGTAGCTAGACAGTGTATTAGAGAGGTCACAATGTCTTTCATACAAGTTAAAAAGAATCAATCAAAAAAAATACTACAAAAGCAGAGTTTTGAGGCTATATACCCAAAAAGCTGGTGAGCGATAGCAAGTGCAGTAGTGGTCTTTCCTGTCCCTGGCGGTCCATAAAAGAGCATGTGCGGACACTACAACCACAAAAATCAAATATAAAACCCCAAACTTGAGATGCTAAATTCGACATTTAAGGTTTTTTTTTTTGCTAATCGAAATCCAAAATGTAATCAATCGAGTGATTATTAGGAAAAGGGGGGGTTTTGAGTCTGATTACGTTAGAAGTCTGGAGAGTGTTGGTGAGGACACGGACTACTTCCTCCTGATGCGCCACGTCCTTCACTTGCTTTGGTCGGCTTTAACCCCCAAAAATCGAAAACAGCAAAAAAAAAAAAAAAAGAGTTGTTGAGAGTTAAAATCCGATTACGAGTTTCGGTTAACGGAATTGAGAAACAAATCAGAGGAAGGGAAAATCGTACTATTTCTCAACCCATGGCTGTGTGCTCTCTACAACTGGCGCCATTCCTCTCTCTCTCTTTTACAGTGATAGAGCTTCTCCGTGCCAGTGACGAGGGAGAGAGAGAGACGAGGCTCCGTTATAAACCCTTGTATGACGTTTTCTGGGTTTTCCCGCCCCCGCCACAGACCCTCCAAGCCAATAAGAAGGTTTGACTATTCCATAAAATCACGCGCTCTTAAATAAAGCAAACCAAAACAAGTTTCCAAACCGAAATTTTTGGTTTTCGTGGGTTCTAACTTCTAATTAGGTTATGAGTTCGGTTTAAAGCAGAGAGAGAGCCAGAACCAAAAAATTCTAGTCGTGGACCATTGATAGTGTCGAGAGAAAGCTTGGATGTAGGCTATGTAGCCATTGAAGCAGACTATGTTCGTTTACAACTGCCTTACGTGGTTATATCTACTAGTTCATTCAGCATCATACGATCACTCATAGTGAGCATAACAACATATATATCATGAAATAACGATTTGTGTTTAGTTGTCACCACAAACCGCCGGAACAACAATCTATGATTTACGAGATCACAGGTTGCAATGACTAACTACTCTTAAACGAACAAGGCCATGATGACTAGTATAGTGCTGAAGTATCCTTGACTCATAAACACACAACTACAAAATCCACAAGGTCAAAGCAAAAGATGCGGTAGTAGTATCCATGAATCTTTTAGTGCTGAACAAGATAAATATATTAATGGAGAAAATCATATGCTCTGATCTCAGTGCCTTTTAGATTTGGACTCAGCTTTGGAGAGCATATATCCTGAGATCTTGTTCATCTCGTATAATAGCCCAGCAGAGAACAAGAAACTGCCAACACAAAACATTGAACAACAAAAGCAATCACAGCTTTTTAGCCAGAGAAAGTTATGACTTATTGTTATCATTTAAGATTGAGCAGAAGTCTTACCAAGTTGTAATACAAACTCGATGAACCGTGCTGGCAGCAACAAGAGCTATGATTTCAGCAATAATCACTGCCATCAAATGAACAAACAAACAAAATTGTCTTTAAAACTTACTAGTTACTACACGAAAATAAACTTTCAGTGATAGTTTTCACTGGGATTCTTGCATAAGTATGAGATGATACAACAAAACAGATCAATTAAGACATCTAATATTATAATAAAATTCACCAGGAGACCTTTTGCAACCTGTTATCCAGGAAGCAACCTAAACCTCTGGGAGGCATGATTCAGGGCAGACTGATAAAAGCACTCTTTATTTTGACACTAAAGCAAGGATGGTCACATAAGCTGTGTAGGTATGACAAAGAGAAACCCTACCTGCACCCCAGCTACTTTTCCCACCAGAAGACTCCTGGAGATTCCCAATGAACTGCGAAAGTTAAGGAAATCACAATGAACCAGATCATCACCCAAACAAACGCAGATGAATTTGATAAAACCAAAAACACACACACAAAACCACTTGATCAAGGAACAAAGGATCTCAAAATTTTAGAATAATTAAAATGTTCAGGACCAAAGATCTCAAATTTAGAAGAATTAAAGTGTCAGAATATTAAGGACCAAAAATCTCTCAAAATTAGTGAATCGGATCAAATTTCCAAATAGACTACGCAGAGAATTTACACAGATACAGGTAAAGGTAACTTTACAGTGAGAGAGAAGAGAAAGAGGAGGGAGCTAGTGAAGCCTCCAAGGATCGTGAACAGCTCCGAAGACGCTAGTTTCCCTCTGTACACTTCTTGCAGCGACAGCACCACTGTGAACAGAAGAACAGAGACAAGCATCGATGTTCCAACTCCCGCCATTGATTTCTCCTTCCGTAAAAAAGAAAAAATGAAAGATCAAATCGAGAAACGTGAGAACAAAGGTTAACAATTCGTATGATAAGAAAATGTGATTGATTACCTTGAAAAAACCCTAACAGATCGAGAAAACCTCTCTTCTCACACTTCCTCAGAGCTCCACGGAAAAAAGACGATCGGGAAAGTAAAAAGGATTTAGAAATGGGAATTTAAGAGTTATAGAAATACAACATATGATAGTTTCTAAAGTTAAGTGACGTATTGCGAGAAACTATAATTTTCAGGGACTTTATATATCAAACGTTAAGCAAAGGTTATTTAAGTAGGGGCTAACCAGTAATTTAGCGGCACTCAATCGGTGTGTGAAACATATTCCGACAGTGTGTTTTCAAACATGTTGTGATTTTTTATGCGACAAGAGAGCTTCTTTCATCCATCATCCATGGATGCTTGAAACATCGACAGCAAGATAGTCGCTGTAACAAAGCAAGACTTGTGTGAATATGGGCACTGTTTTGAATCTAGGGAACCCTCCTAATACATGCCATCAAGCTACTTGCTTACTGTCTCCAAGTAATAAGTTTCCATGGACAAAACCCTTTTTATCTGGTGTTTTTTTCGCTCGGCCTGTCACGCCGATTCAGAGGTGTCACGTTGTTCGGAGAAGCCGTGTCTCTGCTTCTCTATTGGTAATGATAAGCGTTAAAATCGGACAGTACTTGTTGCACACAACGTGTTCGATCATTTGTCTCCTTTTGGTTTTCTAAGTTGTTTTCTGGTGTTTCCTTCTTCTCTTGTCAATGAGATTTCTGCTGGATTTTTTTTTTTGTTAATTTGGTTTACTTATTTTAGGGTAATTTGGGTCGTCTGAAGAGGAATTTACAAGATGTTACGAGCTTGAACTATTGGGTTGTGCGGGACTACTATCGTCTCGTGGAATCTGTCAACTCCGTTGAACGAAATATTCAAAGCCTTTCGGATGAACAGGTTCAACTTAGTGTTCACTTCTTGAGACGTTTTCTTTTTCATTTTATACGATTTTTTTGATGTGTTTGTCTTTTGTTTGTTTACCTCCTTAGCTGAAAGCTAAAACTGCAGAATTTCGGGAAAGGTTAACAAGAGGGGATTCCCTAGCAGATATGCAAGCTGGTTTGATCAAAACCTTACGTTGATTTTGCTTTCTTAAGAATGCTACTTTGTTTTGATAAGTTGTTGTTATTGCTTTCTCACTGTTCTAGAGGCGTTTGCTGTTGTTCGTGAAGCTGCAAAGAGAACGATTGGGATGCGTCATTTTGATGTGCAGGTCTGTCTATATCTATACTCAAACTCTAATCCATACTAATTCTTGGTGGTGCTTTTTTTCATCTAATGAAGAGATTCTTAGGTATACTTATGTGTTTTTGTTGTATCAGATTATTGGTGGAGGTGTGCTTCATGATGGATCCATTGCAGAGATGAAGACAGGTGAAGGGAAAACACTAGTCTCAACATTAGCTGCTTATCTTAATGCATTAACTGGCGAGGGCGTTCATGGTATGTTGTCTGCTTTCTCTGCTAAAATTGATTATTGCTGATATTTTGAGAAATTTCCTCAGTATTTACGCACTATTGATATGTTTAGATCACTTGACATATAGCTAACGCTGTTAGTACTGATTACTTGGTGGCAGTGGTTACTGTGAATGATTACCTGGCCCAGCGTGATGCAGAATGGATGGGTCGTGTTCACCGCTTTTTAGGCCTTTCAGTTGGTCTCATTCAGGTAGGTTTCACAGGTGACAAGTGCTCCTTTCACTCCACCTTCCGAATTTCCAAGCAGTTAACTTATGGCTATTTCGTGCTGTACAATTAGAGAGGAATGAAAGCTGAAGAGAGAAAATTCAACTATGGCTGTGATATAACATACACCAATAACTCGGCAAGTATTTCGTTCATATCCATTCTTCTACTTGGGTTATACTTTAATGTTTGATTCATCTCTCATTTCCTTCTACTAACACTTGTGCATATTTCAGGAGCTTGGGTTTGATTATCTGCGAGACAACCTTACTTCAAACAGTGAACAACTTGTGATGAGATGGTACATCCTTTAAATCTTTTTTGCTTCTCGGCTGTGTTCAATACTGACAGTTTATGATCTACAGGCCAAAACCATTTCACTTTGCAATAGTTGACGAAGTGGACTCAGTCCTCATTGATGAAGGCCGAAATCCTTTGCTAATAAGTGGTGAGGTAATGCAGTTCATCATTTTGATAAGCTTAAAAGTTTTACTCTTGGGAGATTTAGATATTTGGATCATAGTCTGATTCTGGTTAAGAATTGTGGATGCAACAAAGAAAGAAGTAGAAGTAATATCATTGGGACATAAGCGTACTGATTCATGGGGTCCTTTCTGTCGTCCTTATATTACAGGCTAATGAAAATGCCGCACGATATCCAGTTGCAGCTAAAGTGGCTGAACTTCTCGTAAAAGATATTGTGAGTCTTACCTTCTTCTCTTTTCTGTTATTTTACTGTGACCTCTTTTCAGGAACTGATTTTCTAAAATAATATTTGAAATCTTGGTAATAGCATTACAAAGTTGAATTGAAAGAGAATTCAGTGGAACTCACGGAAGAAGGTATATCTCTTGCTGAAATGGCTCTTGAGACGGGTGATTTATGGGATGAAAATGATCCGTGGGCCAGGTATCTACTTGCTACTACCACTGATATTCTTATTTTCTAATGATAACATAAGACTTAGGCGGTTGGCAGTTAGTATAAGAAATTGGGAATTTTTATTTGGTGGTCATGGTTACAAAGTTTTGAATATAGGCACATGTTTGTCAGTTACTGGTGGAGATATGAGGTGAGATGCTACACATGCTGTTGCTAGTAGATGGCTTATGGTTGAACAAAGTATATTTCCATTAGTAGTGTTGTATTTTCTTACATATATGATATCTGAGTAAAGAGATTCTTTTAGTAAGAACATTTCAGTTAGAAACGGTTTCCTGGTCTTATTGTATTTGCAATCCGGTCTTATCTTGTAGAATTTTTCTTTTCTTTTATCTGCTTTGAACTAGTTTTATCTCAGATCTAGTTCAAAGTTCCTGTGCAGTTATTAGCTATAGGTGTTTGTTGGATTTATTTTCTTATTTATGCAGGTTTGTTATGAATGCTTTAAAAGCTAAAGAATTTTACAAGCGTGATGTCCAATACATTGTGAGAAATGGGAAAGCACTTATAATTAATGAGGTATAAGCAGTTCTTGCTTCAATTGTATTCATTGTTCATTGCTTGAGATACCTATTAACTGTAGTATTTAAGACATTTTGAGAGTTAAATAAGGATTTCAAATATTTTCAGTTGACTGGAAGAGTTGAAGAGAAAAGGAGATGGTCGGAAGGAGTCCACCAGGCTGTGGAGGCTAAAGAAGGTCTCGAAATTCAGGTCTGTCACACGGCCACACTAGTCGAGGTTGAAGCTATACCTCAAAAACTTCATGCTCATGAAACTAAACTGTTTGATGTAGGCTGATTCAATTGTTGTGGCCCAAATAACCTATCAGTCCCTCTTTAAACTCTATCCAAAGCTCTCCGGGATGACTGGGACAGCAAAGACAGAGGTATGTACACTTTGATCCACTTCCTTAATCTGTTTTAAAGATATCATTTTCTTGACTAGACAAGGCAGTTTGACACTTGTTTCTTCAACTTCTTGCAGGAGAAAGAGTTTTTGAAAATGTTTCAGATACCTGTTATTGAAGTTCCTACAAATTTGTCAAATATTCGAATCGATCTACCTATTCAAGCTTTTGCAGTAAGCATCATAGAAACTCATTTGCCATCGTTTATCTCATTTTCAAAGTGTAACTAATTTTTCCATCTCGATCATCCCTTTTATGATGGATGTTAGACTGCTCGAGGTAAATGGGAATACGTTCGTCGAGAAGTTGAAGATATGTTTGGACAAGGTCGACCTGTTTTAGTAGGAACTACAAGGTATATTACTAAACCATTTCAGCAACTTTTGACACATAAACTAAGCCACTCTTTTTAAATTCAAAATATATTGCATGTACTGGTGTCGGTTAAAAGTATACATTGATGATAAGGACAATTATTTCTTTTTAAAGACATTTATGTTTTTTGCTGATAACAAGTTAGCTTCATTTTTGCAGTGTAGAGAATTCTGAGTATTTATCAGCACTGCTGAAAGAATGGGGTATTCCTCACAATGTCCTGAATGCACGACCCAAGGTGGGATCTGAAACTTATCCCTCTGCATGGTAAAACTAACATATATAAAGTAGTTCTAATACTCTTATTTTACTTCATTCAGTATGCTGCGAGGGAAGCCGATTTTATAGCCCAAGCAGGAAGAAAATATGCCATCACCATTTCTACAAATATGGCTGGCAGGGGTACTGATATTATTCTAGGAGGAAATCCAAAGGTATTTTGGATAACATCCTTAACTTTTCAGATGTTTGTTTGATCTGCAGTTGATTGGGTCTCTTCTTGATGACTATACTTCTGCGGACATCTAATTTTGTACTGTTTTCGTTTTTTGCTGTCAATAAATTTCACCTGTGATGTTCTTGTTTGCTGTAATCTTGCAGATGCTTGCAAGGGAAATCATTGAGGACAGCATCCTTTCATATCTAACAAGTGAAGTAGTAGCAGATGAAATTGACGATAATGAATTATCGCAGAAGGTATATGTTGCAAAATAACTCATATTTTGACCTCTTTACATAGGTGTTCTTGAAGACAAAAGCCAGATCATTTGTCGATACTTATATCCCAATTGTAGAGTAATTGAACTTTCCGGTAAATTATGTCAGGTGTTGTCAAAAATAAAAGTGGGACCATCGTCATTAGCTTTGCTAGCCAGAGCTTCTCTTATGGGTTTGTCTCTGAACTTTCAGCACTCATTTCTTAACACATACTCTATGGATCATGATTGATGTTTAGGTTTACTGCTGAAATCTTCTTTCAATTCAATTGATACAGCAAAATACGTTGGAAAAAGTGAAAATAAAAGCTGGTCGAGGAAAAAAGCAAAGTCCGTGGTCACAGAATCATTGGAGAAAAGCCAGACCATGGATCTTATAGAACTTCAGAATCTTGTCAATGAGCAGTCAGAAATGTACCCATTAGGCCCTGCTATTGCTCTGGCTTATCTGTCCGTCTTAAAGGACTGTGAGGCCCATTGTCTGTATGAAGGGTCTGAAGTGAAGAGGCTTGGAGGTCTTCATGTGATTGGGACATCTTTGCATGAGTCTCGGAGGATAGATAATCAGGTAAGGAACTGGTTTTACGTCTCTGCTTGAATGCTACCTTCTTGAATCAAATGTGCTCTATCTATTAGTATTTTAGAAACGTAACAACTAACAAGACGTTTGCTCCAAACCTATTATTTTGACTTGAAACCTTTTAAAAGCATGTTTCTCGGGCTGCTCTCTAGAATGGTAGTATCATGAAAATGGAACTATATAATCATTCATTGTCCTTTTCCTGAGGAGATATGCCAATTTGTTCCTCCGGGTTATTTTTATACCAATTAATTAATTTATCAATGTGGAAATGGTAGAGACCTTGAAATCAACCCCACATGCAAGTTGACCTGTTTGTGGCTAATCTTCCAAGTTTCTGCGTCCATATTTTTTCTTATAGCTTCGAGGAAGAGCTGGAAGGCAAGGAGATCCTGGATCCACGCGTTTTATGGTTAGGTAATCACCTTTTACTCTCCTGAACTTTGAACCACTTTGAAAATGTCTGGGAATTATATCGATCTTTCCCCTGTAACACGATTTTAATACTGTTGGTTGTACAGCTTGCAAGATGAGATGTTTCAGAAGTTCAATTTTGACACTGAGTGGGCTGTGAGACTTATATCAAAGATTACAAACGATGAAGATCTACCAATTGAAGGTGACACAATAGTAAAACAGGTAGGTAACTTATTCATCTATTTTCTTTGCGGTTCTATCATTATGATTTTCCTTGCAGAATTGGTTTATTTAATCTAATCTTGCTCATCTGATTGGCATTGTAGCTTCTAGCTCTCCAGATAAATGCAGAGAAATACTTCTTTGGTATTAGAAAAAGCCTGGTCGAGTTTGACGAAGTGCTTGAGGTACCATCTTCGCCAACTACTGTTACTGTATCTGCATCTCGAGGACACACTGTCATCTGAATTAAACATTTTCCTTCTTTCTTCTTCTTCAGGTTCAAAGGAAGCATGTCTATGACCTAAGGCAACTGCTTTTGACGGGTGATAACGAAAGTTGCTCCCAGCATATTTATCAGTAAGTGCTACACTCGCAATAGACGTTATTATGTCCATGGACATTTAATTATAGCATGTGTTTCATGTGCACTGTTATTTCTCAGGTACATGCAAGCTGTTGTAGATGAAATTGTCGTTGGAAATTCTGATCCGCATAAGGTAATAAAACTCGTGTCTAGCAAAACCTCTCAGAGAAGGACCATCTCGTAACAGAACTCTTTGCTCGTTTCTCTAAAATAAATCATGCATAGTCAGTTTTTGCTGTTATGCTCGTTTTCTAATATCTTATTTCTTATGGTAGCATCCAAGAAACTGGAACTTGGCCAAGTTATTGAAGGAGTTTATGGCGATCTCAGGGAACCTACTGGATGGTAAGCTTGTTTCTTTGTTTTTATTCATTTTTAGGCATAACAATGTCTTGCTTCCTGAGAAGAAACGACCACTCGTCTCAGCATGAAATCTAACAACAAGCAACTATCAGAATCATTTTCAGGGATCACAGAAGGAACCATGTTACAGTCCCTCGAAAACCTGCATGAGACAAGTTCAATAGACATGGATAACTTCCACCTTCCATACCTGCCAAACCCTCCAAACGCCTTCAGGGGAATACGCCGGAAAAACTCTTCACTAAGACGGTGGCTCGATATTTGCTCGGATGATTTGACAGGGTGAGTGCTAAACAGCTAAAGTTAGTAGAGTCTTTGTATCTGCTAACATGCGTCCCATTGAGAAAGAAAGACCTTGAGTTTTACTCTTTGAGGATATATTATGTAGGAGTGGGAGGTACAGAACATCAATCAATCTTCTCCGGAAGTTCCTCGGTGATTATCTGATTGCTTCCTACTTGACCGTTGTTCAAGAATCTGGCTTTGATGATGGATACGTAAAAGAAATAGAGGTATCATGTTTGTTTGTTTTTGCATCTATGAGTGTAAGTTACACTGCAACTCCTGATCGATTTCTGCTTTGTTGGAAACAGAGAGCGGTTCTGTTAAAGACGTTGGATTGCTTCTGGAGAGATCATCTCGTGAACATGAATAAACTAAGCTCAGCGGTACCAAACAATGATCCTCTATGTGTTTTCTTTTGTTTTTGCTATCTGCGTGTCTGATACTTGTGTGTACTTAAACCTCGATGTCAACAGGTGAATGTCAGAAGTTTTGCGCATAGGAACCCTCTTGAAGAATATAAAATCGATGGATGTCGATTTTTCATCTCAATGCTGAGTGCAACCAGAAGGCTTACTATAGAATCAATCTTGCAGTACTGGTCATCCCCTATTGAATCCCAAGAACTATTTGTATCATAAGATTACTCAAGCTAACTATATATAGAATTGAATGCTAGAAAACAGGCAATCTAATGTTCAAATTTGATTACATATTATGCTTTTGAGGACGTTCAAAACCATGACCGATAGGCGATAACATAATAACAATCAACAGAATTGTGATATACAATACTGTAACCTAAGTTCATCACTTTATAGACCATCTCCAACAATAGAACCTTCATTTGAGATCTAAATCATTTTTTTAATTAAAATTAATCAAAAAACAAAATTTAGATACTTGTAGAGATTTAACTCTTCCAATGGTAGAACCAAACAAGGGTTCTAGATTTCAAAAATTGAACTCCTCTGCGATTTTGATTATCCTTGAGAGCATCTGAGCTAGTTTTTGCTGCAACACATATCCTGTCCTTTCTTAGCAAAGCTAATCTTTTCAATGATTATGTTAGTATTGTGTGGAAGGCGAAGGTAACCTGGCGGTCTGCAAGCTCTCCTCTTCTAGTGAAATCAACTCGGAATAAAGCAATGATCGAGTCAACAATCTGGAAACAAGAGTAAGCTCAGCTAGATCAGCTCATATTCGTGTTGATTTTCATCGACTGGAACTAACAATGAAATAAACAGACATGCTTTGTTTGCTTACCAGAATCTTCAATGGTTCCTCGGACATTTTTGCAGCAAGGCCAAGAAGCAAGTTGAACTGATGCTCATAGGTGTAAGCACAGGGGTAAATGATCTTTAACATCAAAGAACTGTGAATGTAAATTTCAGTCATGAGAGGTAAGATCCAAGCTTAATAATAATGCTTACATTGTCAAGCACAGCTCATGCTTGTAGGCAGCTGCATAACATAAATACCAGAAATGAGTACTAGTGGTACTGAGAGACAGAGACCTCAGTGGTTAAGAATCTTATCGCATGCCTTTGACAGTAACAATTAACCAATATTGAGACACTAGGAAAGTAACCAACCTGCGTGGTGACACAAAGGGTATGTGCTAATTTAGTTTTCCCAGACCTGAAGTGAAATTAAACTATGTCATGATACAAGCTATTGACAGGAAACTTACAAGAGCTGGGATACGCTTCTCACCTGAACTCCCCAAACGCCTCTGTGATGGCTGCAGTCCCAATTCCACCTACCACATCGTTGTTGAAAATGAAACCAGAACGTTCAAGCAGTGTGACAAAGATTGGCTAACAAGTAAAAGCAAAAATTAGTATACCTCCCAAGAGATCATCAAGGGCTTGGCATCCTGTAGTGATACGAACAACTGATTTTCTCTATAGAACAGTAAAACAATGTCTCAGTATCAAAATGCTGAATAAGCCATCAAAAATCTCAAGCAACAGGACTTAGTCGCAAGACAAACATCTAGACCTTATCCAAATCAATGAGACTAACCTTGAGAAGAGCATCACTTCCAGTCATATATCCAAAATTCTGAAGGAGAAATGTTATCACGGTTAGAATGACGAAACACACTGAATGCAGCAACAAGAGTTTATAAATGTTTTAAGCTAACCACTATCTTCTCGGCTGCTTCACAGATTTTGTCAACTTTAGCCTCTGATAATCCTTTGATTCCAGTGAGGTTCTACATCAAATCAGAAGATTCAAAACAAAGCAGATCGGTTCAATTAATAATTCATCCAATGAAAAGACACTACAGTGCTACACAAGCTTAATCGATCTACCTTTTTGGTATGCATCATGAGACCATTATAGGTATGGATCCCAGCATCTTGTAGCTTTTTCACATCTCTTGCGTTTATACCCTGAGCAATCACTGGCACAAGGAAACAGAAATTCACAAAATCAAATCAGATAGAGCTTTATGCAAGGTTATCGGAATCATTACTTTTCCTTCGAGGCTTCTTCTTTGTCGCACTAGAACTGCCGCTGCAAAAGACCTTCCGCGTCGGGGAAACACGAAGCCCGTCTCTCTTGTCGGAAACGAGATACACGTAACTCACCGGCGGTCGAGACACACGTAACTCATCGCAAGAGAGAGAACATAATTTTTTTTCCGGGAAAGAGAGACAGGGACTTTTTTTCTTGTTTTGTTTAAACACGTAACCAATGAAAGATTGCCACGTTTTATTTAGATGTGCATCCAGAAACATCTACAATTAGATGCAACTCTATCTATTTTTCATGTTTTTGATTTAAATAAAACCCAATTAATTAGATGGAACCTCACTTAGAAGTGGGTTAGATATGCCTTTGGAGATGGTCTAAAAAAGATTTTAAAATAAAATTTGAATTTGAATTCCAAAAAAAAAACAATCTATTACAAAAATAATACATCCACACGAGATGATTACAAAGATAACATTATTAACTTCTGTTTCCACAGGGACACATAAGAGCAAAGAGGAAAATAACACTACTCGGAAACCAAAAAAAAAATCTTTTAACAACGAAGAGGAAGTAATCAGAGGGCAAACCAAACAAATACACAGAACTCTTCCAACTGGGTACGTTCGAACTGTAACAAAAAAAAAATAAAAAAGCAAACTATATTGATATATATGTGATCATTCGTACCACACTGAGCTTTGGGGGCTAGAAGGCATTCCAATGATCAGAGCTCCGAGGTGTCTCAGCCGTACTTGTCGTTGTCTTGAATGGTCCCGTAGAACCGAAAGGGTCATGGTCATCAAACCCAAACCCGTTACTGTAATCAGAGTCTCTCGTGCTTCCAATTGAGTCAAACCTCGTCAACGAAGCTTTAGGTGTCTCTGATGCGTTGTTGTTGTTGTCATAGCTTTGTGCGTTGAAGGAATCATATCTTTGATAATTGAAAGAATCAAACCTGGACGCGAATGGGTCTGGCTCGCTTGTGCTGCGCATGGAGTCCGAGCGGGATAGAGAGAAAGCGTCGTTGTTGTTGAATGAATCGAACCGGGAGAAGCTGTTGGAAGAGAAGTCATCGTGTGCAGCAGGCGTGCTTGGGACAGAGTCGAACATGAAGGGACTTCTTCCTGGGAACAAGTTGTCTGAACGAGGCGTCTCTGATGCAAACGGCTTCCCACCAAAATCAGACGTGCTATAAGCAGGAGTGCTTGGGACAGAGTCATCGAAGAGGGATTTCTTTTCGGGAAACAAGTTTCCAGGATAAGCAGGAGTGCTTGGAACAGAGTCATCGAAGAAGGATTTCTTTTCGGGAAATAAGTTTCCAGGATAAGCAGGAGTGCTTGGAACAGAGTCATCGAAGTATGATTTCTGGTCGGGAAACAAGTTTCCTGGGTAGGCAGGAGTGCTTGGAACAGACTCATCGAAGTATGATTTCTGGCCTGGGTAAGAGGCAGTGGTTGTTGCTGGAGTGCTCGGGACAGAATCAGCAAACAAGGAAGGTTTTGCAGTGAAACCGTCGTTGGCATTAGAAGGGGGGCTTGGGACAGAATCAGAAAATATAGATAGCTTTGGAGGGAGGAAGTCATTTGATAGGGTGGAACCCGTTTTTATAGGTTTAATGCTGAAGTCATCGAATCCGAACCCGAATCCAAAATCAGTATCATGCTTCTTGTCCTGCGTAAACACGCAACACTCAGAACAATTAGAATAAAATGGCGAAGCATCAAATATTTATCTTGAGCAGATTATACCTTTCCGTTGTCAGGGTTGAAGCTTGAAACTGAATCGGTCTCATCGTGAGAGTCATAACTAGGTTCATTTACAGTTTTGCCAGCAGAAGCAGTAGATTCACCATCATCATGACCATTTTCACTGAGATAAAATTCAGTAAAATGTTAGACAATATTAGTCACCCGAGATCTATAGGAACATATAATAATACTCTACTTTCTTCTTTTTATGGAAGCAAATAATATTCATAGTTAAGAAAGATGCAAATCTAAAACACACAAGGTCTGAAACAAAAGGCTTACCTCGTTGTATCTTTGGTTCCAGGTGAACCATCAGCTTGAACACCCTTTTTAACATTAGAGTCATCCAGAGATCCGTTTCTATCTGTTTTACCGTCTGAATGTTCAGATGCCTCTTCTCCACTGCTAGGCTTTTTCTCTGTTTTAGACTCAACATCTGAGGATGAAACGTGTTCACCTTCATTTGAAGAGACAGTAACTTCTTTCTTCCAAGCAGATGATTTTTCCTTTGGTGGCGCAATAACATTTTGGACATCAAGTGTAAGCTCCTTGACGAAGGTAAAACCTGGAAGAAGAGAAAAATTAGGATGCAATGTTCAGGTTCAACTACAAAATCCATACACCCTGTTTTGGAAGACGGATAACCCAAAATAAAACAAAACAATATAAAGAGAAACAAGAAAATTGATTAAAAATTTTAAAGCCATGCTTCCTGAATGTCTCACCTTCCTCCTCTAGCTTATCCCAATCTTCATCCCAATCAGCAGCACTTTCTTGAATTCCAGGTTGCCAACCTGTAAAACGTGAGACAATCCCATGAATATATAGAAAGGAAGATACAACAGGTATATAGTTGTATCGATAGAAGTTTTCTGGCAACAATACATACAGAGTCAAAAAACTGAGTTTCTTCTTGCACAAAAGCATCAGCGTTTAATCAAATTACTAGATTCTAAAACTAACAGTCGGAAAGGTGATATTTAACTTGAAAGGAGAAGGGGAAAGCTATACCAAAAGGAAGCTCCACCAGAGTAGTGGGTTTGCCACGTACTCCATACTGTTTGCAGCGCTCATTCAAATTTTTAATCAATTCCTCAAGTCCCGATTGGATGTGTTCAGTGCGCTCCTACAAGACAAAAATTCAGCAAAATAGAACTACCAATTACATTCAGGCAAACCAGATAGCACGTTGTGTTTACCTTAACAATACTATCATCAAGCTTGCCTTCTTCAAATTTGACTATGGCCTGGTACAGTTCCATTTTCTTTTCCTGCATTTTAAAAGGGAAGATTATCACATTTCTGAAGGCGACAATTCAAGGTACGCCATGCTCCTGGGATGATAATTCTAAACTACCTGTATATCGCGGAATGTTGCCTCTTCAATAGTCAATTTAGATCCTACATTTCCAGACTTCTTGTATTTCTCTTCGTATTTTTTTGCTAGAGAGTCAAGCTGGAGTACAGGTTGATTTTGTTAGGTAATCAAATTGGATATCTGATAACATTATGGAAGAAGTTCGGTGGAACAGAAACTCTATACCTCACGTTTATCACCCGAGACTCTCTCCGTAATCTCATTATACCGGTTATCACATCTGCTCTTGTATAAAACCTGTCACCCAAGGAACCAAATGGAGAATGTTATACAAACAAACCGATCGTTAGTAGTAATAATGAAGTCCCTGAAAACAACTATTTCCTAGAACTTTAGAAATCACTAAAGAGACATAGTGTCAAACAACTGTTGCGTCTACTTCTTGTGATCATTAAAGCGATCTCAAACAACATTTTAGGAAATAAACGACCAAGCTTAATATACAAATATACTTACAAGTTCCTGCATCTTAGCATGGAAGAACTCAATTTTCTGCTTGGAATCAGCTATTTCCTTTTCAAGATCGTCCACCTGAAGACCAAAATACAAGGATCTTTAAAAAAGAAACGGCAGTCACATAAAATTCAAGGTTACGTCAATAAAGACTACATGGACAACTGATCACCTTTACGGGAATAGCACACAAATTGTAGTAAGTAGGTTCAATCAGGTTTAGAAAAAAATTAAGAACTATGCATAGTTCTCAGAGGCTGTTTGATATCTTCCAGGTTTGGAAACTTATAATCTAGAATATGACTACAAAAATCTACAATTATTCATATTAGTGCCATATGAAGAGGGGGTAGGGGTGGGAGGAAGATACCTTCAGGTAAAAATAAAAGAAAAAGTGACTCACGCTAATCAAAGAAATTCACCACATTAGCAATACTAAAATCAGAGAGAAACACGAGAATGCCTTTTTATCAATAGCAGTGGCTTCTTCAAACTTTGAGTTGAGCGCATCTTGCTCCTCTTTGCTAAGTTGATCCACCAGATGTTTTTCCAACTCAGGCATTTTACGCTTTGGCTGAGTGGCTTGGACCATTCCATCACTAGGAGAGAGAGGACCCGGCCTTGGAGGCTTTCCTTTGGGAATAGCTGGTGGCCTCGAGGCCGCATGAACTTGACCTACAATATTTGGTCCAAGAATGAATCTGCTTACTTCAGAAAATTAATGCAAGCAATAGAGCAATGGGTTTGTGTATTGCAATACCATGTGGATGTCCCCAGGATGCATTGCCATGTGGTGCCACAGATTGACCAGGAGAGGTAAACATGCTCTCACTAGATATTATAGTGCTTGGGAACACAGGGGGAAGAGGTCGGCCCTCTCTATAACGCTCCATCAGATAGACAGCAATACAGAACTCTCTCAAGGAAAGCATGCTATCATTGTCTTGATCAGATAACTCCCATACCTGCTTCAAAGCCTCTGTAATACCAAGGAACATCATTGAACACATAAAACGGTCTATAATCCACATATAAAGTATAACAATTTCTGCTTGAGATGATATCACTATCCATTTATCGTCTTGAACAAAACATGAAATACTCAACATTTCACTTAAAATGGCAGTTGATCAATAATTTCAATACTACACAAACAAATATAAATAACTAGAGAAGTGTCAACTTAATTATCATGCATGTTCACCATTATAACAACAAGCTCAAACTGAAACTAAACTAGTGGTAACGAACGAAGCAACAGAAAAGAAATGTAGCCTACCTCGCGGGAGCTTCCAACTTAAGAACAGATTCCGAGCCTGGTGCCCAGTGATCTTTCCGTCCCTATCAGAGTCAACTTGTACAAATACCTTGGTATATTTCTGGACGTCAGCTGGAGTCATTTTTGGCCAGGGGGCTTGGGACTGGAGGTAGGGTTGGTGCTGGGGATGAGAATGGGGGCGGTGCTGTGGTTGGGCATGGGGTTGGGGTTGGTGCTGGGGTTGGTGCTGGGGTTGGGGATGGTGCTGGGGTCGGGGTTGGTGCTGAGGTTGGGGATGGTGCTGGGGTCGGGGTTGGTATTGGGGTTGGGGCTGCGACTGACGCTGGGTCAACTGACTAGAAGCTGAAATTCCAGTTCCAACAGTAGAGCCAGGTGTACCAGAAGCAGATGAGCTGCCCATTGTCGAAGTAGTTCCCGCAGTATGTATTTTTGGCTGCGTAGAAGTAACTGAAAACACATCTCCGAAATGTGAGTCAGAGGGAAAACCGTTTCCTGATGCCGCCAGTGCCTTGGGATCCTTCGCTGCCAATTGATTGGATGGAGCATCTAGAGCACGAGTACCTGAAGGAGCAGATGAATCATGGGGCTTATGCACAGGCGCTGATTCTTGTGGTCTGGCTGTCGTAGAGCTTATTACTGCAGGTGTAATATGCGGTTTTGGTATATTGCTGGCAACTGAGTTAGGTGCTGTCAAACCATATCCACTTTGACTCGAAGGAATTGGAGGATTCACTTGCCCAGAGGGCCCAACACTTCTGCCGCTGAGCCAATCAGATGTCATAGGTTGGTTTGCAGTTCGAGGCGCACTAGTCCCTCCAGCTAGCATACCCTGGCTTTGAAAGTTTTGCTGTTGTTGAGATGGAGGTGGCCCAGTAAATTGGTTCTGCTGGCCCGGGCCTACTTGTTGGTTACTAGTTCTTACGGTTCCACCCATTTGAGGCCCTCCCTGAGCTTGTGTAGCAGGCACAGCTCCCCTAGGCTGTGGAGAGGGTGTTGCAGCAAGATTTATGTTGGGAGCAGGGATATTGGCAGAAGCAGGACCACGGATTGCAGCTTCGACTATCGCAGGAGTTAATTCCCGTCTACTTTGCGCCACAGTAACCAACTTTAGAGCATTATAAAACTCCTCTCGACCAAGGTAACCCGCATGTTTTGCATCTGCGTGGGACCATACCTACAAGGACGTCATAAAAAGAAGAAGCTATACCATTAACATTAACAATCGAAAGACTAATTGTACAATACGCGCCCAGAAACTTATATCTGAACGAATCTGCAAATGTTGTCTACAGTCAAGCAACGTTATGATCATTTCAAATATGCAGAATTTATCTCATTGCATGCAATGTTCTACGCATCTAGATCACTCAATAAGCTATAATGCATTCAAATTTGACTCTTGAACCAAAAAAAAACAAACACATCCACTAAAACACAATGCCTCTTACATATCACAAACTAGTTGGAGAGTTCCTAAGCCAAGAATCTGTTGAGAGTCAGAAAACTGGATTCTCAAATAGAATTTACATAAACTAGACTATAAGCTCTCCAAAATGAAAATAGAGGTCTCATGTCACGTTTCTACCAATGATCCAATTCAAAACCTACGAGTATTCTCCACTGTTCTCACAATAATCAATCAATCAAAGGAGATGCAGATTTAGCTGAAGAAACACCTGAGCAAGGACGTTCTTATGCAAACCGGAGCGTTGGAAGAAAGCGACAGCCTCGGCTCCACTGATACGGCCATCTCCATCCAAATCTGCTCTCCTGAAATACGCATCGAATAGATCCTGATTCCCCGTTGGCCTCGGCGCTGCCATTTTGAATCCTAGAAAAACCCCTAATTTTCACAAGGCTGCAATCGGTAGATCAGTGGAAGAAGGAGAGAGCACCAGGGAGTCTCGATTGAATCCCGAGGGGGGGGGGGAGATGGATCGGTGACGGTGAACAGAGCGATGGAGAGAGAAGTAACAGAGATTGATGATGATTCTCTCGACAGAGAAACAAATCTAATTTCCCCGGGATTTGAGATGGAAAACCGGTACAGCGCGATGGAACATAACCGGTACAGCGTTTGGTACGGTAGAAATGTTAATTTATACTCTAAGATCGTATAAGAGAGCCTCGAGATGCAAATAAGAATCATACGGACAGTAGCTTACTGTATAATAAAATAATAATACGGTCATCATTTAATTTTTTTAAAAAATGTTACTGTCCGTATGATTATTTGGTGTGGCTGCAGATGTATGTTACTCCTCCAGATACGGATATTTACTCGATTACTGGTTGTTATGTTTTGAAATATGCTCTGTTCTGGTGCTAATAACGGCTTTGCTTTAATGATGATTTTTTTTGCAAGTACAGTCTATTAGATGTGCGGTGAGTGACTATGGATGTTACAATGTCACTGAACAATTCTGAGAGGGAGATATCCAAGGTACATCATCATATTGAACGGTTAGATTCATCATGTCATTGATCGACATTGCTTTGAAACATCCACCAGGAAACATGTTAACTTGAAACTGTTGTGGTTCACTAGTTACAGAGTTTATGTTGTTACAAATGTCTTTGATCAGTGTTTATTCATTATGCAGGTTTTCTTGACGAAGCATTATCATAACAGAAGCTCAAACGACCCAGAGTTTGTGCTATACCTTGAAGAGATTTATGTTATTGAATCCAAGACTAAGTCAATCACCAGAGCCAGAGTTTTTGTATGTCTGATTGTTATCTTTCACTTTATTTAAGCACTCTTTCTCATTCTGAGTCTGAGCACAAACCACATAAGAATGTGTTTCATGCTGTTAAACTTAGAAAATGCTATAGTGCGCTATAACATATATCTCTAGTTCTTGATCACGTAGTTTACTTAAGTTAGAATGTAGTTCAAAGCTGCTAAGACAATCTTTCTTCCCATACTAAGGTTTAGATTGTTTCAGGTAGCCGTTCTGGGGAGAAGAAAAAGGAATAGGGAGGATGACTTGCTCGTGATACGAGATAATGGAAACTCCTTTAAAATCATACACGTGGTAGCTTTCAAAATCCACAACCATTTCTATTGGCAGTCATTTTTGTATTCCTTTGAACTAGCGTTACCCAATCGTTTTTCTGTGTTTATATTCTTCCAGGGGGAAAGAGATGATCCGACAACGGTAATAGAAAGGGAAGAGTGGAACAAGACTCGAGAAAACATGGAAAAACATCTCAGAAGGCTACGAGACTTCAGTGTCTCAAACTGGTTCTAAAAACAACCAAACCGACGAGTTAGTGGAATTTCTTCCATGTCCGTAAATGACCTATACAAGTTAGAACAGAGTCAATGATATGGTGGGAGGATTCAAGATGTGTAGTTCCATGGAAGACAAGGATTTTTGACCTCATGTACTTTTGTTGGAGTATCCCGAGTATATAGGGATTGTAGTAGTATATTTGTGTTGATAAACTTAGAGTAGCGTAAGTCTCGTTCTGTTAGAGCTGTTGAGATATTATCTTCTGTCGAGTTGTATATAATGAGGTCTTCTCATTGAACGTAATATACAGAAAACTTCACATCAAAATCTCTTCTTCTCTGGTTCTTTACATGGTATCAGAGCTTGATCAAATTTTTCTCTAAATTTGTTGACGATGTCGTTTGAAACTACAGCTGATGAAAATCTTCCGACTCCGACAACGACGGTGGTGAGGCGGAAAATCTCACCATATGATTTGACTTCTTCGGATAATCCCGGAGCTGTGATTTCGTCTCCTCTGTTGAAAGGGACGAACTATGATGAATGGGCGTGTGGGATCAAGACAGCACTTTGTTCCCGCAAGAAGTTTGGTTTTCTTGATGGATCTATCAAGCGACCAGAAGAAGGATCTTCTGATTTGGAAGATTGGTGGACTATCCAAGCACTTCTTGTGTCATGGATACGGATGACGATAGAACCGTCATTGCGATCGAATATCTCTCACAGAGATGTTGCTCAAGACTTGTGGGAGCATCTGAAACGACGGTTCTCAGTTCTTAATGGACCACGCATCCAGCAGATTAAGGCTGAGTTGGCTTGTTGCAAGCAAAAGGGACTGGCTGTTGAGGCTTACTTCGGGAAGCTTAATCNGTGTCATGGATACGGATGACGATAGAACCGTCATTGCGATCGAATATCTCTCACAGAGATGTTGCTCAAGACTTGTGGGAGCATCTGAAACGACGGTTCTCAGTTCTTAATGGACCACGCATCCAGCAGATTAAGGCTGAGTTGGCTTGTTGCAAGCAAAAGGGACTGGCTGTTGAGGCTTACTTCGGGAAGCTTAATCGCATTTGGGATAGCATGGCTAGCTATCGTCCTCTTCGTGTTTGTAAGTGTGGACATTGCACTTGTGACTTGGGAGTTCAACTGGAGAAAGATCGAGAGGAAGACAAGGTGCATCAATTTCTCTATGGTCTCGATGATGATTATTTCCGAACCGTACGATCATCTTTGGTATCACGAACGCCACTTCCAACTTTGGAAGAGGTGTATAATGTTGTTCGCCAAGAGGAGGACATGAAGATTGTTAGCAAAGAGGACGATGATGACTCAACAAAGACGGTTGCAGCTTTTGCGGTACAAGCAAGAGGACGCGGTCGTGGTGATGAAGTAAACAAGACAGCGTTCTGTAAGCATTGTAATCGAAATGGACATTCATCTGAGAGCTGTTTTGCTATCATTGGATACCCGGAGTGGTGGGGAGACAGACCACGGGCTCGGACGACGCAGGGTAGGAACCGTGGTGGGTCTTCTTCTAATGGTGCGGGTAGAGGACGAGGAACAATGGCGTATGCCAATGCTGTTGCAGTGGCTACACCGAGACAAACGGAGCAGGCGAACTATGTCGTGACAGACAAGGATCGTGATGGAGTCACTGGTCTTAGTGATACGCAATGGAGAAGCTTGCTGAATCTTCTCAATGCTGCTCCGGCAACGAATCCTGCTACCAATACGGAAAATTTGACTGGTAAGTCTTCTACTCCATCTTGGATTTTGGATACTGGTGCAAGTCATCACTTGACTGGAAAGTTGGGAATTTTGAGTGATCTCCGAGATATGGAACCAGTTTTGATTGTTTTGGCTGATGGACGAGAAAAAGTTTCGGTTAAGGAAGGGAAAGTAAGAGTTGGACAGGGTCTGGTTTTGAATTCAGTGTTCTATGTTGAGGGCATGCCTTCAGATTTGATTTCTCTTGGACAACTTATGGATGAAAATAGATGTGTTGTGCAGTTGGCTGATCAGTTCTTGATTGTTCAGGACCGCATTTCGAGGATGGTGATTGGAGCGGCTAAGAGGGAGCAGGGAGCTTACCGCTTACGCAGTGTGGAGTGCGCGGCTGTTGCAGTCACGAAGGATGAAGAATCTTATACTTTGTGGCACAAGAGAATGGGACATCCTGCTGCTAAAGTTGTTTGCTCGCTTCCTGTTGTTTCTAGTTCAGTTAGTTCTGTTTTTCTGAATAAGGCGTGTGATGTTTGTCTCCGCGCTAAGCAAACAAGATGTTCTTTTCCAGACAGTATCAATAAAACTTTGAAGCCTTTTGATATGATTCATACTGATCTTTGGGGTCCGTATAGGACAGAATCGAGTTCTGGTGCTCGATATTTTTTAACATTGGTCGATGATTATTCTCGCGGTGTCTGGATTTATCTCTTGAAAAACAAAACAGAGGCTCCTATCCAATTGAAAAATTTCTTGTCCATGGTGAAAACACAGTTTCACACGACAGTTCGGTTTGTACGCAGCGATAATGGTTCTGAGTTTATCTGTTTAAAGGATTTCTTCTTCACCAATGGTATCGTTCATGAGACTAGTTGTGTCGGAACACCACAACAAAACGGCCGGGTGGAGCGCAAGCATCGCCATATTTTGAACATTGCAAGGGCTTTACGGTTTGAAGCTCATCTTCCGATTGAATTCTGGGGCGAATGTATTCTGGCAGCTGGATATTTAATTAATCGTACTCCGAGTCTTGTTCTAGGTGGTGTTACGCCATATGAGAAGATATACAACAAAGCTCCAAGTTATGATCATCTCAGGGTTTTTGGCAGTCTTTGTTATGTTCATAATCGAGATACCAGAGGTGATAAATTCGCCCAACGAAGCAATCGATGTGTCTTCTTGGGTTACCCTTATGGTAAAAAGGGTTGGAGGGTATTTGATTTGGAGAAACAGAAGTTCAGTATTTCCAGAGACGTTGTATTTGTTGAAGATGTATTCCCGTTTGCAGAGAAAGAACAAGCTGGAGTAGTTTTACCAGAAACTCCACCATTGTGGGAACCTATATCGGGGGTTGATGTGTGGGAGGAAGACGATATCAGAAACCAGACAGGAAGAGATGAGTTACAGTTGGGCCCGGAAGCTAACACAGGCCCGTCAGTGATTGCAACTGATGTTTCGGCCCAACAAGTACAAGAGAACATGACTACGTCGTCTTCCACACAACAAACCTCGACGGCGGTTGACAACCCTGTCATTCCGGTGCCTCCTACGTCTGAGCTTGGACGCGGCCACAGGGTCCGAACACCTTCTGTTCTTCTGAAAGATTATATAGTCAATTCCGCTCAAACTCGTCGGCTGAAGACCACGGGAAAGGGAAGCACAGATCCATTGTATCCGATCTCCAATTATGTTAGTTTTCGACGGTTTTCACCTCGTCACACTGCATATCAGGTCTCCACTGGTAAAATTACTCCCCCACGTTCTTACAAGCAGGCTGTGTTGGATGAGCGATTTCGCAACGCGATGGGATTAGAGATTGGTGCGCTTGAAGAAAACAGAACGTGGGATGTTACAGATTTACCTCCCGGGAAGAAAGCTATTGGGTGCAAATGGGTCTACACAGTGAAATATAAGGCAGATGGGTCTATTGAACGATTCAAGGCACGTTTGGTGGCTCTCGGCAACAAACAGGTCGAAGGTGTAGATTATAAAGAGACATTCGCACCAGTTGCGAAGATGGGATCGGTTCGCTTATTTCTTGATGTAGCAACTAAGCGAGGATGGGATGTCCATCAAATGGATGTACATAATGCATTCTTGCATGGCGATCTTGCGGAGGAGGTCTATATGAGACTTCCACCAGGTTTCAACTCCAGTGATCCGACCAAGGTTTGCCGGCTCCGCAAATCTCTATATGGACTTCGACAGGCACCGAGATGCTGGTTTGCGAAGCTATCAAAGGCGCTTACGGAATATGGTTTTCAACAGTGTCTTTCTGACTACTCTTTATTCACATATACAAAGGGTACGACTCAGATTCAGATTCTTATTTATGTTGACGATTTGATTATAACGGGGAACAAACCGGCGGCGGTGGAATTCTTCAAACAGTATCTGGCTTCTTGCTTCAAAATGAAGGATCTGGGTTTGTTAAAATTTTTTCTTGGCATCGAGGTTGCTAGGAGTAAAACGGGGATGTACTTATCTCAACGCAAGTATGCGTTGGAGATTATTGAGGAGACAGGTTTGATAAATTCTAAACCAGCTACATTTCCCATGGAACAGAACCATAAATTGGCTTTGTCTACCTCGCCTCTTCTTGAGAATCCGGAAATGTATAGAAGATTAGTAGGGAGATTGATCTATCTTGGAGTGACACGGCCGGATCTTGCTTATTCTGTGCATACACTTTCGCAGTTTATGCAATCACCACGTCTTGATCATTGGCAAGCTGCACTAAGAGTGGTTAGGTATCTGAAGGGAAGTCCAGGCCAAGGGTTGTTGCTGCGTGCGAAGGATAATCTGCAGATAACAGGTTGGTGCGATTCGGATTGGGCTAGCTGTCCCATTACTCGTCGCTCTGTTTCTGGATATTTTATACAACTTGGAAGTTCACCTGTTTCTTGGAAGACAAAGAAACAACACACTGTTAGTTTGTCATCCGCAGAGGCTGAATATCGGGCGATGGCATATCTCACCAAGGAACTGATTTGGTTGCAGAGAATATTACAGGCTCTTGGGGTACGACATGATCAACCTATGCGTGTCTACTGCGACAGTAAGGCGGCATTACATATTGGTAATAATCCTGTCTTTCATGAAAGGACAAAACATATTGAACTTGATTGTCATTTTGTACGTGATGCGATACTGGCGGGTACTATTGCTACATCCTATGTGTCTACAACAGCTCAGTTGGCAGACGTTTTTACGAAGGCGCTTGGCCGGTTGGAGTTCACAGGATTTNCTACTGCGACAGTAAGGCGGCATTACATATTGGTAATAATCCTGTCTTTCATGAAAGGACAAAACATATTGAACTTGATTGTCATTTTGTACGTGATGCGATACTGGCGGGTACTATTGCTACATCCTATGTGTCTACAACAGCTCAGTTGGCAGACGTTTTTACGAAGGCGCTTGGCCGGTTGGAGTTCACAGGATTTTGAGCCAAGTTGGGCATACAAGACTTGTACGCTCCAACTTGAGGGGGGGTGTTGGAGTATCCCGAGTATATAGGGATTGTAGTAGTATATTTGTGTTGATAAACTTAGAGTAGCGTAAGTCTCGTTCTGTTAGAGCTGTTGAGATATTATCTTCTGTCGAGTTGTATATAATGAGGTCTTCTCATTGAACGTAATATACAGAAAACTTCACATCAAAATCTCTTCTTCTCTGGTTCTTTACAACTTTCACTAGTAGCAGCAGAAGAGATGAATGTGTTATTAGATGATATGGGCTCTAGAACAATTGTGTAGATGTAATATTCTGATGATGGATTAACATTCAGTTACTAGAGAAGCTAATTTATGCTTATTGATACGTAAACAACTATTCCATTTCTTTGTTGGCAATTGAGGTGTTTCAATGTTGTTTGGTCCAAAAGTTCTCTCTTAATATTTTTTTCTATTGACATAGAATCATCATATCCGTTTGCATCTTTAGCTATCATATGAGTGTCTGTGGTTGTCTAAGTTGTTGCTATTGGTTTTGGTTTCATATATATGCACGTAATCACCTTCATGACCCTGATGCGGCATAGCTTTTGGACCTTAACCGGCATGTCGTTTTGTCGTGATAAACGAAGCTACTAAAACGGTAGGTATTCTAAACCTCGATGCAAAGTTCTTTAGTTTTATAATGAGGACACGTGTACGGTGGCTTGTTTGAGTTTCACGTGAGTAGGATGACATTTGCCGGAATGGCCGACACTGGCTTTCAATAATTCAATGTTGTCTGAGTGGTTCCACCGGCCCAATTCTGGGACCTCAAACATTAACTACCCTATTCACAATCACATTGTTAATTGAATTGTTATGTGCATGCTACCATAGGTTAGAACAGAACTTACACATAAATGTGATATAATAATCTATTTTAGCGACAAAAAAAAACTTATTGTGTAAATATATGTCAAATAAAATGGACCGCACGTTAAAAGTAAAAGAATATTGACGAGATAAAGCATTGGTCAAAGACTCAAAATGGAAATAAATCAACGATTACGACCATGAGATCAACAACCGATAAATATATATTTTCCTTTTTGTAAGCTTATACCGTCGTTATACGTCACACAATTTTTGCGACCATTTTCTAATACTTATCTTTGAATCGTCAACCTACCAAAATAAATTAAGAATCTCTATAATATTATTTGAGAAGTCAGTTTCCTACGTGTCACGCTCACGTTAACTCTTGCTATGGTTGATTACATAGATACCCTTAATGATTTGTTAGATTTTAAGATTATTATTATTTTCTTTTAATTTTTTACCTTTTTCCAAATAACATATACAATAAAAAGGAAATATTACTAATTTTAAAAACGAAAATATATGTATATAATATGACTTTATTAAAACGGAAAGTTCACAAAATAGTAATACCCCATTAATATATATTTAAAATAACATAAAATATATTTTCAAAATAATAAAAATATATATGTTCATGAACATCCAAAAACTTATCAGTTTCATTTTATTTTCTAATATTTTTTAGAAATCAACATATAATTTGATAAATATTTAAGCGATAAATAAAACTAATTTGATTTGACTTAACTAAAATAAATAGTAAATAAATATTATGAAAATACATGTATATTTAAATGATAAATAAAACTAATTTGATTTGAATTAACTAAAATAAAAAGTAATTATTCTCCAATTTTAATTTAAAAATATATTATATTCAATATACTCACAAAATGAATGACTCGACTAATCTAATTTATATTCAAAATTAATCAACTAACTACAATAAGAACATATAATTTTATAATAATAATAATAATATTAATAATCTATTTAAATTAGAGGTTGACCCAAAGCATATTAAAAAGAAAAAGAAAATACTAACCAATTACAATTTAATTCTTTTTAGAATTTATATATATGCATGCGACTTCAAAATATTATCATTATATTCATTTATGTAATTTTGAATTTAACACTTCAGTTTATTATTTATTTCATTTTAAGCACAATATATATATATATATATATATATATATATTAAGTTATACATAATTTAACTATAATATATTTACATATCTAAGAATATATTTACATATATAAAGACAATAACCATCCAAAATGAAAATAAGAAAATTAATCAAAGTTTTATTATATTTAGAATAAAAAAATTATAGCTGAATTCGAAAAATAAATATTATCTAATATACCAAATTGATAACCAAACCGACTATTGATAAAAAAATAATTAAACCGGCAATATTATATCCAAAGTCATATGTATAATTATAATAATATAATATTTATTAATATAAATTATACATATAAATTGATTAAAAACTAAAACTAAATACCAATCAATTATTTATTTTATTTAAGCACAATATATATTAAGTTATACACAATTTAACTATCATATATTTACATATCTAAGAATATAGTTACATATTTAAAGACAATAACTAACCGAAATGAAAATAAAGAAATTAATCAAAGTTTTATTATATTTAATATAAAAAATATTATAGCTGAATTCAAAAAATAGATATTATCCAATATACCAAATTGATAACTAAACCAACTATTGATCCGAAAAATAATTATACTGACAATAATATATCCAAAGCTATATGTATAATTAGAATAATATAATACTTATTTATATAAATTATACATATTAATTGATTCAAAACTAAAACTAAATATCAATCGATTATTATAAAATTTTACTTTTATGAATATTCATACCCGTGCATGAGCACGGGAAAATCACCTAGTCAAACAAAAGACAAGGACCTGAAACGTTGACGACAGAGCAAAAAGGTGACAAGGATTGAAACCGTATAAAACAAAGGAATGAATCCACCATTTACGAAAATTCTTTTTATTTAGAAACAAACCATAGAATATTCATAAAATTATAATATCCCCACATGTAATCATCATACATGGCACCACCACTAGTACGCTCTATTATTATTCTGTAATCAACCGATAACTAAACGGTGAAACATACCGTACAAGGTACGTAGATTATGAGTTTGTAAAGAATGATAAAAACATTAATGAGTTATCTTACAAGTACTCCAATATGAATATCTAAATGTTTTATTTTTGCTTTGTCCTCCATGATATTTTTTTAAAGTTGACTTGTTTCACAAATATATCTGAAAATTTAGTATAAAATTAATTTTCTGACTGCCAAAATAGGTACAGTAATAAATTAGATATTAATAGTATTATTTATTAATAAGATATGTCTGCTGCTCCATTGTTACTGCTTCTCCTTCTTTCTCAGAAGCTGCAAAACCAAAATCAAAGCCGCCATAAAGACAGTGATGTGGAACTCTGTTTTGTATGTTTCTCCATGAATCACACTTCAGAGAAGGATACAAAGCACTCACCTGAAAATTCAGTTAACCATTTTTTGTGACAAAAAAATAAGAGAGCGAAAGAGAAATGACACAAAACGGCGTCGTTACAGGAGGAGGAGGTCGTACTGTTGTGGTGGGTGTGAAGTTCGATGCGACGAGCAGTGATCTGCTGGACTGGGCTTTGGTTAAGGTTGCTGAACCGGGAGACACCGTAATCGCTCTTCACATTCTCACCAATGGTATCTTCTTGAGTTTATAAAATATTATAAAAAACTAATATTTTTGGAAAATGGGGTTTCTGATGTTTAACTCTCTCAAGCAGGCGACTCTTCGTTTCTCTCCCTTGTTAAAACTGAAGACTCTGTTCTTGAAGCTTATGAAGGTTTCTGCAAATTGAAAAATGTAAATCTACAAAAAAGTAGACAACTTTGATTATCGTTTCTTTTTCTTTTTTTCTGAAAGATCAGTGTCTAAAGATGTTCCTTTTTAATAGATTGAGCTGAAGTTGAAACTATGCCAGGGCTCCTCTACTCGAAAGGTTTTAGTTAGAGAAGCAAAGTTATGTCATGGATCCAAAGTTGTAGTTGGAGTTTCCAGAACTTGTAGCCACTCATCTGTCTCAGTGGCTAAGTACTTAGCCAAGAAACTATCTAAAGACTGCTTGGTTCTTGCTGTAGACAACGGGAAAGTCATGTTTCAAAAAGATGGTTCCTCATTGAAAGGTATGTCCTTTCTTTTTCCTCTTTTGAGTGTTCTAAGGATTTTGCATGGTGGTTTGTGTGTGTCTAAGTGTGTTGAAACTCTTTGGTTTGTCATAGGAAAAAGCAATGCTGGTAGGAACGCTTTGACTAGCTTCTTTCAGATGCATAAGAACACCAAAGTAGTTAACAGTTGGGAGGAGGAGGAGGATCGTTCCAATGGCTGTAGTCTACGGCAAGCTTTAGTGTCTTCCTGTCTTGGGAATCTCTCTGTTTGTGGAGATCTATCTAAATCATCTAGCTGTAATGATAATGCTGATGATTTCCACAAATCAAAAATGGCCACTGAGCCAGTAAAAGTAGTTCCGGAAGATTTGACCAGATTCATCACTATGCTGGTAAATGAACTGCCTGAGTTTAGACCAGGCTGGCCTTTGCTTTGTCGTGTCGCTTCTCCTGATGTGTTGTTAGCTAATGTTCCGAGAAGTTATTCGTTCAGACAGATACCAGTTGCACAGTGGGTCCTCAAGCTTCCCTCTAGAACCAATTCTCTTGTTAGTACTAGTTCAGACACTAAGCAGTTGGACGCAACTGTTTCTGATGGTAATGATTCTATGATTGTGAAGTTCTCTCCTGAGGGTCTTCATGAGAGGTTCTCCACATCTTGCCGATCTTTTAAGTACAAGGAACTTGTTTCAGTCACATCCAATTTTTCTCCTGGTTTGTTCCTCTAAGAACCATGTTAAGACTCTTGTAATATGTTTTTATGTCTTAACTAAGAAAAGCAATGTCTTTTTTTGCAGATAATTTCATCGGAAAAGGAGGTAGCAGCAGGGTTTATAGAGGCTATCTTCCTAATGGAAGAGAGGTTGCAGTGAAAATTCTCAAGCAAACCAAAGGGGTCATGAAGGATTTTGTAGCAGAGATTGATATCATCACAACGTTAAACCACAAGAATGTTATTTCACTCTTAGGTTACTGTTTTGAAAACAATAACCTCTTACTTGTATACAATTACCTCTCAAGAGGAAGCCTTGAAGAGAATCTTTATGGTAAAAGCCTCTAAACCTCTTTAGCCACTTGTATATTTTCTAAACCCTTGTGGCTCTAACAGTGCATGGTTTGAAAATTAGGAAGCAAGAAAGATCCGGTTGCATTTCGTTGGAACCAGAGATATAAAGTGGCTGTGGGAATAGCTGAGGCGTTGGATTATCTGCACAACAGTGCTCCACAACTTGTTATTCACAGAGATGTTAAGTCATCAAACATATTATTGTCTGATGATTTCGAGCCACAGCTTTCTGACTTTGGGCTTGCAAAGTGGGCATCACTATCTACAACTCAAATCATCTGCTCAGATGTTGCAGGCACCTTTGGGTGAGAAACAAAAAAATACTAAATCAAAGTTGTTTAGAGAGAACTATCTTGAGAATGTTAATGTTGTTTCTTGGTGTAGGTACTTAGCTCCAGAGTACTTTATGTATGGTAAGATGAACAATAAGATAGATGTGTATGCATACGGTGTTGTACTCCTCGAGCTTCTTTCTGGAAGAAAACCTGTTAATAGCGAATCTCCAAAAGCTAGAGAGAGTCTTGTTATGTGGGTATGTAATAGTAAAGTTCTTACATTGAAAGATCTAACCTTTCTCTGCTATTACTAATTTACAGATATGTGACTACATGTGCAGGCAAAAACACTTCTGGATGATAGAGATTATCTTCAGTTATTAGACCCGAGTTTGCTTAATGACTACAATGGTGACCAGATGGAGATGATGGCTTTAGCGGCCACTCTTTGTATAAGACATAACCCACAATCTAGGCCAGAAATGGGAATGGTGAGTCTCATCATTTTAGACCTTGGCGTGTAATAAAGGTTGGTAACAAGATATGTGTTTGTGAAAATGCAGGTTTTAAATCTTCTTAAAGGTGACGTGGAGATGCTAAAATGGGCAAAGGAGCAAGTTAGTATTGGTTTAGAGGATTCAAAGCTGCTCAAAGACGAGAAACTGAAGAGGTCTAACTTACAGTCACATCTTAACGTAGCGTTCCTTGACATGGAGGAGGACGAGTCTATCTCCATGAGAAGCATGGAACAAGGGATCTCTGTGGAGGATTATCTTAAAGGCAGAGAAAGCCGTTCATCAAGCTTTCATTGAGCTTGTTTTGTTTTCACAATTGCAAAACTTTCTTAGTTGAGATGGTGAAGACTCGCTTGGGACCTGTTTAGGGTTGTAAATGCAACTTTTATTTTTTTTGGGATCTGTTTTGGAAATATTTCCTTTGTTGGGGCAAAAATAGAAATAAAATATGTGCATACCTTGATCCTAATGGATCAAAATGAATGGTCGTCTTTCACTGTCATTTTCGAGGATTAGCTTACTGAAATACAAATTCACATAATAATGTTCTAGAATTTAGAAATGTGTTAGTTCTCCATAGTGCCTATCACAATCTAAAAGACAAACCATGTGTTCGTGACTAGGCCTGGGCAAAAATAACCGGAACCGAAAAACCGAACCGTACCGAACCGAAATTATCCGATCCGAAACCGGACTAGAAAACACAATAACCCGAACGGTTCCTGTTTACAAATATTACGGGTACCCGGACCGAACCGGAACCGAATCGATAACCGAATGGGTACTTTTGGGTACCCGAAATATAATACATATATGAAAATACTATTTATATTTAGATGTTAAATAACTAAAATATTTGAATTATGTTATAAATCCAAAAATATTTAGTTACATTTGAAATAAATACTAAAATATTCACATTTCACTAGTTATAATTTTAAAATTAAACAATATTTATAAACTTTAATATTTTTTTAAAAAGAAAATTAAGTATTTCAAGTACTTTTTGGGTAATTTGGATACTTTTTATTTGGGTAATTCGGGTAGATCGGTTATTCTGGGTACTTTTGGGTAGATTTTTTTTTTTTTTTTTTTTTTTGAAAGAATTTTAAATTTCATTCCAAAAAAAACGTTTTTACAACTAGTGCAAGCCATTACAAAAGACAGAAACACAAAATCTAGTACAGCAAAACAAAAGCCATAAAAAGGGAATCAAAATCTTCAAACTTGAAATAAAAATAAACTCAAGAAGAACCCATAAAGCACTCCCCCTCAAGAATAGCCATGTGGAACAAGCCATACAAATTGGAAGGACCATACTATGATCCTCATTAAAACCTCAATCAGTAAAACCCAAATGGGACAAAACCAAATTGAGGAAAGAGTAATCATACTATGGTCAATTCGGTTATTCTGGGTACTTTTGGGTAGATTGAGTACAAAAGTAACCAGAACCAAACCGGATCCGATAATTTTTGGGTAGTTACCGGTTCCTGACATAATTATCCGATCTGAACCGAAACCGAACCGATCCGAACCGATTTTTGGGCGGTTCCTGTTTGGTTACCTAAAGTCGAAAACCGAAAAATCCGAAACCCAAATTAACCGAACCGAAACCGAACCGAAAACCGAATGCCCAGGCCTATTCGTGACAAAATCATGGTTCTGTAGTAATACATGACGTACGTATCTTCCTGTCCAATTTATTCAGGACGTCTTTTGCGTTTGAAAAATACGTGGTCTGACGAAATTAATTCTAATCAATTTAGTCGCCAAAATCTCATTCTAATCAATTTAGTCGCCAAAATCTCATTCTAATCAATTTTTTTACCATAAAAATTTGAATATAAATTCCATTTAAATCTTCCTTTCCTATTCAAGATTTCGTTTGCGTTTGAAAGTGACGTTGATTGGACGAAACAAATCCTAATCAAATTAGCCGCCGAATCTCAGTCAAACCAAATCTTTCTTTTCCTTTTTTATACCATACAAACTTTGCATTATCGGGAAATTAATTGAATCAAGCCAACATATATAGTTATTCAGCCCAACAAGACCCAATAAGGTTAGGGATGTGCCGGTATATGTAATATTTTCTAAATACGGAAGCCAAGAGTCGCCGCGCTTCGACGTTTGTATTATTCTTTTCTTATTATAATAGTCCTCGCCGTTATCGTGTTACGTGACCAAAGAAGAAGGACGAGAATCTCTCAGCCAATGGATTCTTCTCATTACAATCCGAGCTACGCCCAATGGAATCCTCCTCTCCCTCTCCTCCCCCCGTCACTGCCGCCTCCTCCTCCTCGTCAACCTCATCCCGATATCCCTATCTTCCATCTCCCATCAAGCCAAAGCCGTGAGCCACGTCACCATTATCTTCCACCCAAACCAGCGGTTAATCAGCCGTCTTCCTTCTACTCCCTGCAACCGCCGCAACAGCATCTTCAATACATTCCTGAGAAATTTAACTATGAGTCTCAAAAAGTTTCGCAACCGTCGGAATCACTAGATATCTCTCACTCTGCTTTGGTTAGGTACAATGATAAACGACTTGATTCATTAACAGTGGATGCTTCTCAGGGCCCAATGGATCGAAGCCCAGGCCCTAACCATCAGTATGTTGGCATTAACAGTGGTTTAGACGCTAGTTCTAGGTGTAGAGTTAAGTTTCGTATACTTGGACATGCGAGAAAAGAATCTGGAGCTTCTAGCCAGTTGTTAAAAGAAGAGTTCGATAGATGTTTTAGGTCATCATCAGCAAGTCATGAAGGTGCTAGAAACCAGAGGTTGAGTGAAGCGTATAATGGAGAGAGGAAGGTTCTCTATCCGCGGAAAAGGTGTGACTGCTATCATTTAGATCGTGGAAGGAGAGAAGGGAGTAATGACTCGAAGAGAACAACACCTGGAAAGAAACAAATACAGAAGAAGAAGAGTGCTCTGCTTAGGCTTGAAACTCCAAGAAGCCATAACGGTGGAGAGAATGCTCGGAGTCGTAGTAGTTATAGTGGGAGAAGTTTTGACTCTAATTCGTTTAAGAGTGGAATCCACCCACGCCGGTCTGTGACACATATGTCTAGTAAAGGTAGAAGAGCATTGGTGCCTGATAAGAGTGAGAGAGCTTTGGTAAGTGAAGAAAATGGAAATAAAAGTATACTGAAGTCTCGTGAAGATCTGTTGGACAGAACGGGTACTGGTTGTAAAGATCTTTTGCCGAAGGGTTTGGAGATGGAAGACAGTGTGACTAAGAAGACTAATACGTCTCCTAAAAAATTAGTTATAACATGGTCAACAGTTGCTGATCTCTCCGGGAGTTCTGAAGTACGAATTCGTTTTGCTGGTGTGTCTATGTGTAGTGTTGGGTCTCAACCTTGTGAAGGTGTGGATATGGATTGTTTACCATCAAGGGATTTACGAGTGATGGATGTTAATGCTGGGGTTGAAGAACGGAAATTCATTGGCTCATCAGTTGGATCTTTGGGTTGTGTAGATGAAGATTTTGAGAAGTCATCTATAGACGCATCTATTCATTTTAATAGTGAAGATCCTACTGACCGGGTGTTGGTGAAGTCAGATGGTGGTGGTATTGAAGATGACAGCAAGGGGATCAATAAGAATGTAGGTTCCTTGTCTTCTGAAAATGACTCTCGTAGAGGTCTCCCCGAGAGTCCAGTTTCCTCTGTGTCAGTGGACATTCCTTATGTTTCAACAGAACTTGCTAGTGCCAATAATAATGTTTCGGGGGATCTTGTTAATGCTCACAGTGTTACCGCTGGTACATTTACCAATACCACGGTCAATCCTTTAGTTGAGAACGAGAATGTTAGCAGAACAGAATCCATGGAAGCTACAGCTCTTAATAGTGCTGCAGAAATGGCTGAGAATCGGGACAGTGTTAAAGGTAAAAAGACTTGTGAAAAAAGTACTTCTTCATCTCTTACAAAGGTTGGTGTAAAGGAATCATCAGTTGTGTTGCCTGTTGAAAGAGCTGATGGCTGTTCAGGCAGTGAATCAGGTTTAGCTATGGCAGTACCATCTGATGTGTGTATGGAAACTGTAAGTGCCGAGAGACTTGTGCCTGATGAAGATCTGGGTATAACATCTCATCATCCTGCAGAAATTCCTTCTGTGATTCCCTTGGTGGCAGTGAATGAGCAGGTACAAAACAGAACTTTTATTCAAGCTAACCACAGTGATCCTCGAGATGGTATCATGCATGAGGAAAATAATTGTGCTGAGAACACTGATGTAGATACTCAAGAAGAGAAAACAAGCCCTTCTGGTGGAACTTTGAACTACAAAACTCCGGGAACTGATAATGTTGCTCTTACTGGGGATTCAGTGTTTCCATGTAATTCTGTATCCAGCTCACTGGGGCGGAGCTTCCGGATACGGAGTGAAATTCATGTTGCTACTACAGTTGATGAAACTTGCAAAGATAAACCGAAACTTAAGTATTCTGGTGGTAGTAATAAGTACAGAACTCGGGGAACTAATATTTTTGCTTTTAGTGGGGATTCAGTTCCACCATGTGATTCTCTAACCAAGTCGCCAAGGCTGTACAGACAGATACGGAGTGAGGTTCATATTCCTTCTATGGTTGATGACACTAGCAATTACAAAGAGAAAGCAAAGCCATCTGGTGGAACCTCTAAGTGCAGAACTCCAGAAGCTGATGTAACATCTGATGTTGGCGGTCAAGAAAAATACTCACCGAACAGAGTAAAGACTGATATCTTTGATGGTGAAGCATGGTCATCTGTTGTAAACGTTTCTGGAAATGAAATTCTTGGTGCTTCAGGTGTTCGTCTGAGCTCTAGGTACGAAATAGAAAACAGGAAAAAGAAATCGAATTACTCTACTCAGAAAAGGTATTCCCATGCCCTGCCTTTTGTGTCTGACAATAAGAAAGATGCTAACCCTCCCAATAAGCGTCACACTTGGCATCGAAAGCCAGATACTTCTGCCTCTGCTTTTGTAGCTGCCAAGCCCTTGTCATCGACTTTGTTTACACAAACAAAGTTTCCTATAGTGACTGCCCAATCTAGTAGTAGTTACGTACGTAAAGGGAATTGCCTTCTTCGAAAGCCCTCGTATAGTTCTCCTGCTGTTACCCTTGAACTGCCACCATCTGCCATCCAGTTAAAACGTATCGAAGACAAAAGCACGGGATCCGCCAGTAGGGTTGATGTGGGTAACGCCTATTTTCTTGTTAAAAATGGAGAAATAAGCACTCTCGAGAGGCAGTCAAATCCTCCCTCAGATAGCAACACCCCCAAAGTATCAAATGCCATTGTTACTTCTGGAAAATGTCCGTTATCTTATAGCAGTGATCACCTTATCACTGGTTTACCTGAGTCTACCATGGACTCTGCTACATCTGGAGAAGCCAATGTTCCACACTCTGGTGGAGATGCATCCAAGACATCTGACACACTAATTCAGTCAGATTATGCTTCAGATTGCCAGCAGAAGAGAAATCATCCTAAGTTGGATTCTTCAAATTTGAAGAGAGCTGTATATGTTAAAACCAAGGTAAAGCAGTTGATTGCAGCTTCAGATATTCATGGTGCAACTAAGGGCCAGATTCCTACCTCTGATGGCTATTTCAAGCGAAGTAAAAATCAGCTAGTAAGGACTTCAGCGAGCTGTGTCAGTCACTCACCTGATGATGCATCAGATTCACGAGCGGCTCCAACCATGGTTTCGAAAAGATCATCTAGCTCAGATTTCTCCGACTCTGGTATGAAAAGTGAAGTATATATCTGCTATTTGAGCACCTATGAGGACTGTGTTCAAATGGATTCTGGTACGCATGTTTCTTTAGGAGATCGTAAACAGAGGATGGTTTATTCCTGGACTAGAAAATGAAGAATTGGTTTAATTTGCATTATTCCTTCTATTTTTTCAGGAACGCACAATCCATGGTTTTGGATTTCCTACAGAAACAGGCGTATCAGAGGCCCTTTTAGTTGACTTGCATATGTTTTTGTTTGTTTGTTTTGCACACATAACCAGATGCGATAAATTAAGTAACCGGTCCTTGTTCTTATTTGCAGCTGTCACGAGACCATATAAGCGGTCAAAGTTTTCTTTGGTTTGGACGCAAAATGATGCACAGTCAAGATTGCGCACAAGTCAGATGCGCTATCAGAAGATCTTGCCGCAACTTGTTCCTTGGAAAAGAGTGACATACTGGAGAAGACTAATGAATTCAGTCTCCGGCTCTGCTTTGCGAAATAGTTCTTTTTCTAACATCAGGTATCTAGCATCTAATGTGCTTATATTCCTTAAGCTGCACCGCTTTTGTTTTTGTGTTTGCAAACTTGATGACAGGGCCTTCTGATCTTCAGCCAAAAGTTGTCCATGATGAGGAAGAGACATACGGTTTATACAAGATCAACTAATGGGTATTCACTTAGAAAATCCAAGGTATTAAGTGTTGGTGGTTCGCATTTAAAATGGTCCAAGTCCATCGAGAGAGACTCTAGAAAAGCTAATGAGGTTAATTTCTTCATTCCACTGAATTGGGTTTGGCCTGTCTGCGTAAGGATTGCTTCTTTAGCACAATTGAAAGTGATGTCAACTTTCTTTTTTTTCCTGTTTGTACAGGAAGCTATCCTGACTGTGGCTGAATTTTCGAAGAAAGAAAGTGAAAAGCATTTTGGACAAAGTACTTCTAGGATGACAAGCAGAAATCATCTTACACGTAAGTTGGACGAATTATTCTCTCTAGGCCTCCTGGCCTGTTCGCAAAAAACTTCAACTCCAAATATCTTGGGTTTATCTTCGTGCTGTTTTTTGAGATGCCCGGATGACGATTTCAGCATACCTCACGGTTTTTCATATCAACTTCTGTTTTACAGGGGAGCGCGTTTTCAGGATTGGTTCGCTTCGTTATAAAATGGATTCTTCAAGGCGAACCCTTCAGAGAATATCTGGTAGGATGTTTGGAGTTTCTTTTTGTAATAGTATATGGATGATCCAATCATACACACATACATGTGTTAGATCCTGGTCACTCCCTCTAGGTGGTTGATAAGTCTCAACGAAGGGTTTGATCGGATATGAGCAGTCTCTAGGCTTGGAACTGTTAGTTTCTCATTCGTTGCACGAGAATCTTGGCCTCATGTTTCTCTGCTGAGCTAAGACATGATTCTTTGTCAGATGATGATTCACCATGCTCTGGACCTACTGAAAACGGGAAAGGCGCAAAAAGACCTTTCATTCCAAAGAGATTGTTGATAGGCAATGAAGAGTATGTGATTCTTGATTCAAATTTGTCTAGATTTACTCTACAGTCTGCAGCCTGAGTCAAACATTTGAACTCCATTTTGCAGATATGTTCGTGTGGGAAATGGTAACCAGCTTGTCAGAGATCCAAAGAAACGAACTCGTGCGTTGGCAAATGAGAAGGTCAGATGGAGCCTGCATAACGTCCGGTTACGGTTGGCTAAAAAGAAGAAGAAGTACTGTCAGTTCTTCACAAGATTCGGGAAATGCAACAAAGATGACGGGAAATGTCCTTATGTTCACGACCCCTCGAAAATTGCAGTTTGCACCAAATTTTTGAATGGGTTGTGTGCCAATGCAAATTGCAAATTGACCCACAAGGTTGTCCTACTAAGTCATTGCTGCAGAATTTTGATTCACAGAAACATCTAACTGCGTAATTACTTGTCTTTTCCACAGGTTATTCCAGAAAGGATGCCTGATTGTTCTTATTTTCTGCAAGGTAAAGATTTTCACTGATACGGCTACGCACGGCACAAGACTAATTACCTATATAACGCATGCAGGCTTATGCAACAATGAGGCGTGTCCATATAGGCATGTGCATGTCAACCCGAGTGCAGCTATATGTGATGGGTTTTTAAAGGGATACTGTTCAGACGGTGACGAGGTAAGGATTCAATTTAGAATACATTTTACTTGCAATGTGCTATCATCTATTACTTTTTTTGCACATGCATATGCATGTTTCGTTATTACTGACTCTTTGAGCGACCTCGATCCTATATACTTCTTTTGAGGACGTCGATATAGCATACTACGTTGACTAATACCACAAGGAGTATAAGGGAAAAAGCGATCCTTCTCTGGCTTGATGTCACATATTTTTTTTTTATTTACCACGCACTCTCAATTCACTCACAAACACCTCGATGAAGTTAAGATTGCGGATTGTCTCTACATAATGATAACAGTGTCGGAAGAAGCATTCCTACACCTGCCCAGATTTCGAAGCCACTGGATCATGCTGTCAAGGATCGAAATGCAAGCTCCATCACCCCAAGAACCAAAGCAAAGGAAGAAAGAGGAAAAGACCAAGCGAGCCATCAGAGAAAACTTCCCGTGGGCGTTACTTTGGCTCATTTCACAAAATCTTTTCTGAGCCAATGGTAGTGGATAGACGTCCGACGTACAGTGCAGATTCTGGAATAGAAGAAGGCCTTGACTTTATATTTCTTGGCGCTACAGAGTATGAAGCAGGTGATAACAATGATCTAGCCGCCGGGGAATCTATCTCTAGTGCTAGTGAAGAACCAGGTTCAGTCTACAATCTAATCAGACCAGTAGCTTTGATGCAGTAAGAAGCAAGTATCAGTTTTGGGGTGACTACGAAGGTAAGCTTTCTCTGTTAGAAAGACAATTTGTCTTTTGTCTAATACGTTAATCTTGTAGCTTTTTAGGGAGTTAGTTTTAGCTTTTGTTCTCTTCTAGATTTGTACGTGGTTATATTTATCTGTAAATGATTCAAAATTCGAACACATTTGTTTTTGTTGGTCTATCTTCTCTTTTCTTTTATAAGTTTATTGCACTTGAAAAGACATGATAGAGATCAACAACACGCATAAATGAACTTGAAGCCACTTGACAAGACTTAGAGATACACATTTCATGCGAAATATTGCTGATGCCGATACAAATTTCATGCCACATCAAACCAAAAGAAATCCATTTATAGTGATTAGGAAGCTTTCTCTATATACTATTATATAGGTGGAAGACATTTTTACGTTTTTGAAAAAATATATTAATAATAATAATAGTAACTACCAAAAAAAGGAAAATAAAATTCTAAACCTAAACGCCTCAGCAAATTCTTAGATCCTATCTTATGGTTTAAAGTATATCCAAAGGTTTATAATTTACCAAAAGATTTAAAGTTAACTCAAAAATTTATGATTTATTCAAAGGTTGCGGTTTATTCAAAAGTTTAGGATTTTGTATTTAATATTAAGGATTTTTTCTAACGAAATTAGCAACGTAAAAAAAAAAAAAATTTGTTGGCAATTCATTTTTTTTAACCTTTTTATTGAAAAACATAATTTAATTTGAAAATAATAAAATTTGAAATCTCGTTCTGACTTGTGACTGGTATAATTTCGTTTAACTTTTATCTCGATCATTGTAATTCGATTTTCTTGGTGAAAGTAGAACTTTGCGTTTCACATGTAATCTTGATCATTATAATATATTTTTTTCTTGATGAAATAGACTTAGATTGTGCAGCGTGATTTTTTTTGTTATATGAAGAAGATTTTCTTGATGAAAGTAGAACTTTGCGTTTCGCATGTAATCTCGATCACTGTAATGCCATTTTTCTTGATGAAATTGACTTAGATTGTACAGCTTTAATATGTGATACATTGTTTGTTATATGATGAAGATTTTCTTGATGAAAGTATAGACCTTTGGTTTCACTTCTTTCATTGTTCCAGCCAAGTTAATGATTCTTATGCTAGTAGATAGAGACTTAGATGGCAGTTTTTTTTTTGATCAATGATTGTGCAGCTTTAGTCTGTAATTTTGTTTGCAAATCTTATGCCAAACTGGAACAGTCAACTTCTATATCTACAATAACGGAAGGTTAGTAAACTAATGTTGTATTCTAATCGTTATCATTCGTTTTCATTGATTGTAACGAAATATGTTTTTATTTGATATAGGTTCATATAAAGAGGGAGTCTTTACTCATTAGCAAACGGTCGACATTTTTTTTATTTGCTTCATGAATGTGCTGTTCACTGGAGGGAAAAATGGTTCATTTAATACATGGAGGAACGAACGTGTTTAGATTTCAACAAAAACAAAATTCTGTATATTTTGCAAAAAAAAAAAAAAAAAAATT